ATATTTTCACTGACTACTGTAGATTTAATAATTAAAGATTCAAACAGTGTAATCAAACAAAAGCATTTGAATTATAATGTGTGAGACACAAGACTGAATTATAAGATATAATACAATATTCACAATATTTACAAAAATCATTCGTACAAACTACAACAGTAATTTCTCCTTTAAAGGTATCGTTCACCATTTACTCACCTTCAAGTCATTTTAATACTTTGAGATTCATTTAACAAAAGAAGGTACTTTGAAGAATGTTGGAAACTTGTACCCACTGACATCCATAGTGGAGGAAATATACTATGGAAGTCAATGTTTAAGGGTTTCCGACATGCCGACATGTGTGGTTTATTCATAAACTAATTTCGAGAGGATCACGTGCTTATAATCAACACGGCTGGCTCCTTGTTAGTTCCTTAATCAGCCCTATTAGATGATTATGGAAGCATTATAAATACCCTGAGTTTTTCACTCCAGTTATCTTCGTCTTGAAGCTTCCCCCCTTTCCACCCTACATCCTCCCACTTTTTTCTGATCGGGCGACACGGTGGCCCAGTGGCTAGCACTGTTGCCTCACAGCAAGAACACCGCCGGTCCAACCCATCGGGCTGGTTGGTGTTTCTGTGTGGAGTTCACATGTTCTCCCCGTGTTTGCGTGGGTTTTCCCCGTGTTCCCCGGTTTCCTCCCATCGTCCAAAAACATAACCATAGCCAATCTACTAAAACAAATTATCACCCAATACAACCTGAGTTTACACTTCTCACGGTGACAAGCAGGGGAGTTCTCGAGACCTACCTGACCTCGAGTTCCCCTCTCGCCCTTCTAACGGGAGGGAGCCCCGGGCTCGAGGATATCACGAGCTCAGGGCTCTCTCCCGGGACAGCATGCCAAATACGCTTTATTGATTATCAGCTAAGTGTGAACTCTTGAATCTTAAAATATATATTTTTTGTGTTCATCAGACAAAAATAAGCTTATAAAGATTTGGAACAAGTGGAAAATGAGTAAATAGTGAGTAAACTATTGTTCTTTTTGGGTGAACTGTCCCTTTAACAATGCATCATGTTTTGAACCCTATGAACCCTTTTCATAAGATCGTTATGACGCGTTAAACAGTCATCAGCATCTTAAACCCTTTCAAAGTTTTAAAAACAGATCAACATTTATATGTATTTATGTATGAATTATATTATCTTTTCATCAAACTACAAAAAACGAATGACCACTTGTGTGAGGTGTTTGTAATTAGGGTTGTAACGGTATGAATTTTTTACGGTATGATAATCGTCTAAAACAATACCACGGTTTGACGGTTTCGCGGTATACGGTATGTTACAAATGTTACAAAATAATAGAACAGTGAAGCAAATTTGACTTTTTCCAAATAATATATTTTTAGTTACTATAAACACCACTTACAATGAACAAATAAAAATAAGAAAATAATAAATAATGTGTCAAAGTCCAAATAAAGTCCAAATAAACATGGTGCAAATCCTCAGTAAAAAAATGGATATAAATATTTACTATACTATAAATAGTTACATAACGAAACTAGATTCAATATGGAACATCCTTAGGTTTTATGTGCCAGCATGGATATGGTTGTCTGTGGATATGGATTTGACAAACAGCTGCACCTTCATTTGCGTCTTTTGAAAACAGCAAGAGCAGCAGTTCGTCTTTGCTGTGTCACTGTTTTGTCATGTTTCTGTGCTGCTGTGCATGCAAAAGTACTTAGTATGAGAATTATTTCATGCAAAACTGTTTTTTTTGCGTTTTATTTAGCCACGCATAAATGTACAGCCTATCTCTCATTCCGTGTTGTTCAAAAAGCTCATTGTTTGGTCCACAAACAAAAGTGAAACCTATGCTTATTGGTTGTGATATAGCGAGTTTGAACCAATCTGGGCATGGAGGTGGGACAATGCATCAATGTATCATGTCTGGTTTGTCCGCGAATGTTATGTGATACAGCACTGGAAAGCTGAGATTCTCTTCTTTATGCCAATCTTTGAATTGTATGAATCGGATCAGCGGATCAAAAGTTATTAAACATTTAAAAGCAATACTTATTTTTAGCCGCGGGCGGCTGTCTCTGTCTTTAAGGGTTAAAACCGTTGATATGCAATTGTTCATGGTATGATAATCGTGCACGTTCAAATCGTGGTAGACCATCATACCGGTATATTGTTACAACCCTATTTGTAATGCAGCGTCTATGGGGTCAGGACAGTAAATATGACATCTTTTCTGGCTGTCGTTATCAGTCTCACACTTGTTTTCCTTCTTCTAAAAGTCTTGATAACACCATGGTGGAGTTTTTTTTTTTTAAATTATTTCAACAAATAGTGAAATTGTGAAATAATTATTTGTTGTTTTCTCTATTCACTGCACTCTAAGATTTCTGCTGCTGAGAAACCCACAAATGTGAAAAGAGTCCATAAGTTCACCCGTGTTTATCTCCTCTTTTCAGTGATCACCTCTTCGTCCACACGGGAGTATGTGATCAGTCTGCCGGACGGTTCGACTCAGAGCAGAAGCTACAACTTCAGAGAAACCATCACATTTCAGGGCTGCCAGTTTGATGAAGTGCCGTCCACACAGATGCTCAGCGTGGAGCAGGTGTTCGTCATGTACGATATGGGTGCACAACTTCTGCGTTACGCCATGAGTAACAAGATAGGAGATGTCAATGGTGAGTGCTCATCTGACAAAATAGTTTTCTTTTAATGGGTCTTTTCAATTCAGATTTTTTCTCTTCTCCTATGTGGCACAGATGGGATATGGTGCATGTACGTGTAAGCAGAAAAAAATACACCAATTTTTTTTTACAACAAAATTTCTTTAGATGTTTTCATGTCCAATTTCTGATTTCACACAAATAACTTTCATATTTTTTGCACATTTTTATTCAGATTTAGTATGATAAACTTTATAGTCTCATTCCAATTTATGTATTGATTACATACAACAAACTTTACAGTTTTATACCTATCTATATTCTATTTTCAACTCCATACTTATACAGTGGGGAAAATAATATTGAACATTACCATTTTTTTGATTGTTACCATTTTTCTTAGAAAACATATTTATAAAGGTGCTGTTGATGTTGGTAACAACCAAAGAGATCCATGTATGAAAAGAAAACAAAACTTATTAGTTTAAACCATAGACTTTAAAAGATATGGACGTAGGATCCGTGACGTCACTCATAGGTTTCTGAAGAGCGCAAAAGAAGCCACAAGTAGGCGCGGCCAATCATCAGCATTTTGTTCGCGCGTCATAGCATCCACGGCGGGATACCAAACAAGGGCAAAGAGGCGGAGAGTGAGCGGAGCTACAGACACCTGCTGGCATTTAGCTTGGACCTGGCAGACAGACTTTACTTTGGGAGAACGCTTAATACTTCATTACCTGCGACTCGTCTGTGTTCTGACCACATGTGCTTGGCTGTATACTATATCAATAGAGTGTTTAGACTTTTAAAAACACTGCTGTAATACACAGAGCCACTAAGTATTGTTTTCATGACATTTTTCTACAGGAGGAAAATGCGAAATACGTCCAAACACTTCAGATATAGTCTGTGTTAGTAAATGCAAGACTATTGATGAAATCCAGGCATAACTATGTATGACAACGCTTCAGATGACTTATCCACAGCCCACAGCTAATCAATCTGTCAGATTCTGGAGTGCATTACAGCTCTAAAGAACATTATAAAAGATCTTAAATAAAACAAATACATTTATGGAGATGGTATACAAATATATAAATTCACTCACCAGGGAAACGGAGGCCACGTGAATGGTTTGTGAGCACAATAAAGTGAACACAGCATCCCATATCATCTGATAATTGTAGGAAATAATCCCAAAAGGCAGTTGACTGTATAAAGAAACATTAACCAACACAAAAATACGATGTATATGCTGAGTTCATCGGCTAATTAGCTGTAATCAGCTAAAGTGACGAGACAGCGAGCAGAGAGACCTAGCTGTCACACAAGTGGCCACGCCCTTAATTATGCAGACTTAATAAAACTTAATAAAAATGAAACGGATGAATTATAAAAAAAATTCACCCCCCTCACAGTTGTCCTGAAGGTTAATCATGGCTATATGCACCAAAACCATCCTTTGTACCAGGCTTTAAACATGTTTTTATCAGCTGTAAAAATGCCCAATTTCCCATTGCAGTCAGAAATGACCTGCACTTCCTGGAGCCAGCCCCCCAAGGCGAGTCGATGAATTGCAGTTTCAGTTACTTCCGTATTGGCTTCCCGAGGGAGAGCGGGAGGTTGCCGCTTGGTTTAAACATTATATTATGTGTAATAAAGCACTTTAACAGATAAAGAAAGGGAGGTGTATTTTGGCAGCGAAGTCTCTCAGTAGTTCTTCAGTAACCCTCTGCCCTTCCTCAGTGTAAATGACTATCAGCTGCTTCAGTCCAACATCTACATTAGCAGGAGGATGAAGATGAAACCAGGGTTGACATTTCAGCTAGAGAATGATCCAAAACACAGCCGAGGAGACTTTTAGATGCTTTCAGAGGAAGAAAATCAAGCTGTAGAATGGCCCAATATCCTGACAAGAATCCAATAAAAAATACAGAATAAAGCTCAATTTTAATAGAAAAGACCCAAAGAAGCATCAAGCTTTTGACACGAGATTTTATTTTTATGTTTGTTTGGGTTTTTACCAAAATCTGCTTGAATTCTATGTCAACAGCTTCTTTAGAGATATTATTCCCTGGGAAAACATGACAATGTGTTCAATACTTATTTTGCTAGTTGTATTTTTTTGTATTCTGATTATGCCAAAGTGTACAGTTTTATTCACATCTATATTCTAATTAATTCTGATTTATTCACATCTGTAATCTGATTTTATGCACCAAACGATACAGGTGTATTCTTAGCTATATTCTGATAACACAGATCAAACCTTACTGATCCATTCACATCTCTTACATGGTTACATACACCAGACCAGGGGTCACCAACATGGTAGCCCACCAGGTTCACATGAGTTGCCCGCGGGCCTGTTCTAAAAATAGCTCACCATAGCACCACATATGAGTAAGCTGCATCTAATATTTTTACAGGAATTATTTTTAAATCACACTTGCATTGGTGTAAATTTTAAAATTATTTTAAGTTATAATTTAAAAAAAAAAAACTTTAAAAACTATTTCAGACAAATGAAGTGTTGCATATTGATATTTATCTAACTTGTTAAATCATTGTTGACAACTACTGTGAGAAATCATTAACATGATCAATGTCTTCACATAGATGAATATTATTAATTATTATTAATGACATATAATTAAAAGTAAATTAAGAAAATGTGTTTTTTAATAACTGGTAACCCTTCACACTAATCGATACCCAAGACGTAGCTCTCAGTTTCCAAAAGGTTGGTGACCCCTGCACCAGACCTTACAGTTTTATTTCTCTCTGTATACTGATTGCATATGCCAAACTACAGATTTATTTGCATCTATATTCTGCTTATATTCACCAAACTTTACAGTTTTAGTCCTACTTTACACATTTTTCCTATCTATATTATTATGATGTACAGTACACCAAGCTTTAACAGTTTTATTCTTATGTAATAATTGCCTGAATATTAGATGAAAGCTGTGAACTTCTGGCTGTATACAGTGTTTTGTTAATTAATAGCAAGGCAGAGCAAGTTCATTTATTTTCCACATTTTACACACAATGCTAATCCAAATTGCTTTACATAAATAAAAGAGACACTCGTTCATTCATTCCTTCATTCATTCATTCATTCATTTTCTTTCGGCTTAGTCTCTATTTTAGAGGTTGCCACAGCTGAATGAACCACCAAATATTTCAGGATATGTTTTACGCAGCGGATGCTCTTGCAGCTGCAACCAAGTATTGGAAAACACTAACACACATTCATTCATTCACGCACACTTATACACTACAGCCAACTTAGTTTATTAAAATCCCTTATAGCAGCGCATGTGTTTGGACTGTGGGGGAAACCGGAGCACCTGTAGGAAACCCATGCCAACACGGGGAGAACATGCAAACTCCACACAGAAATGCCAACTGACCCAGCTGGGACTTGAACCAGCAACCTTCTTGCTGTGAGGCGACGGCCGCCCATAAAAAGAGACATACAAGTATCAAATACAGTGACTTTAAATAAAAGTAGAAGAAACAATAGCGAAAAAACTGTTCAAAACAGATTAAAAATGGGCTTACAAGGAATGAAATGGAGTGATAAAGTGATGGCGTGGGGTTTTCAATGTAATTAAATGTATTTATTCTTATTCTCCTCTTTCAATGTGTCTCAGGATAAACCAATTAATATTTCTTCCACATCCACAGGTGGACAAAGTGAAGAAAACGCCTGTTTTACTGGCAGACACGGCTGTGATACTAACGCTGTCTGCAAACCTGGACAAGGAAACCAGTTTACATGCGAATGCGCCGCAGGCTTTACCGGAGACGGACGTGCTTGCTACGGTACAAATTAAATCAAACCTCAGTCCATCATTTCAATTAAAACCATTTCCTATTTCATTTCCCTATTAAAACAGCCACTTCCTTCCGAAGGCAAATCTGTTTTTTTGTTCTTGAAAGTACAACTCTACTTCCTAAGGGGCCGTTTCTGAAGCAATCTTATAATCAGACGTCAAAATTGTCTCCATGTCTGCATAAATTATCCAGCAGACCTCTAAGGATGTGACCCATCCCTTGATGCCTTGAGGAAATTGCACAAAAACAGGACAGACTTTATCTTTAAAGCCGTAATTATGAGAACCGATGCTATCATTGGTAGGAAGTCTGAGGAAGTGTTTTGTTTATGATAGCATTAAAGCAGTTTATCTCTGTCTGAAAATGGTTGTAGAAATCGTCAAGTTCATCAAGTTTCATCTGTGTTTTTTTTTCCTCATCAGACATCGACGAATGCAGGGAAACCCCTCAGATCTGTGGGCAGAATTCCATCTGTAATAACCAGCCGGGAACGTTCCGCTGCGAGTGTCTGGATGGCTTTCAGTTCGCTAGTGATGGACAGACGTGTGTCGGTATGTGAGTTAATCAGCATGTCTACATCTGTTTTTAGGCTTTACTTAGTAATGGGTCGTTCTTGAACGATTCGTTCATTTTGAATGAATCTTTGTATGACTCCACTCCATGAGAGGACTCATCGTTTTGATTTGTTCTTTCGTACATGGCCACAGCCATATCACCCTGCAGCCCAAGACCGGTTACTCACTGAAGCTAAGCAGGGCTGAGCCTGGTCAGTACCTGGATGGGAGACCACTAGGGAACACTAGGTTGCTGTTGGAAGTGGTGTTAGTGAGGCCAGCAGGGGGCGCTCAACCTGTGGTCTGTGTGAGTCCTAATGCCCCAGTAAAAGTGAAGGGGACACTACACTGTCAGTGGGCGCCGTCTTTCGGATGAGACGTTAAACCAAGGTCCTGACTCTCTGTGGTCATTAAAAATCCCATGGCACTTCTCGTGAAAGAGCAGGGGTGTAACCCCGGTGTCCTGGCCAAAGTCCCTCTATCGGCCCTTACGATCATGGCCTCCCAATCATCCCCTTCCACCGAATTGGCTCTATGTCTCTCCTCTCCACCAATAGCTGGTGTGTGGTGAAGCACTGGCGCCGTTGTCCTGTGGCTGCCGTCGCATCATCCAAGTGGATGCTGCACACTGGTGGTGGTGTGGAGAGACCCCCCCTCATGATTGTGAAGCGCTTTGGGTGTATGGCCATACACAATAAATGCGCTATAAAAATACACATTACATTACATTACATTACATTTGTGCTGGTGGAGGAGAAGATAAGTTTCTATTTTGAGTTTTCTATTGGGTTTGAGTTGTTCGTTTATCATTTGAAAGACCCAAGCCAATCATATGCAGTTAGAGTCTGAAAAAGATTTGATCCGTTATCTCTTGAGTCTTCGGTTTGAGATGTTCATTCATCATGTGAAAGACTGAAGCCAATCATATGCAGTCAGAGCCTGAAAAAGATTTGATTCGTTCATCTCTCAAGTCCTCGGTTTGAGATGTTCATTCATCATGTGAAAGACTGAAGCCAATCATATGCAGTCAGAGCCTGAAAAAGATTTGATTCGTTCATCTCTCGAGTCTTCGGTTTGAGTCGTTCATTCATCATGTGAAAGACTGAAGCCAATCATATGCAGTCAGAGCCTGAAAAAGATTTAATCTGTTCATCTCTCGAGTCCTCGGTTTGAGTCGTTCGTTCATCATGTGGAAGACAGAAGCCAATCATATGTAGTCAGAGCCTTAAAAAGATTTGATTCGTTCATCTCTCGAGTCCTCAGTTTGATTTGTTCGTTCATCACATGGAAGACGGAAGCCAATCATATGTAGTCAGAGCCTTAAAAAGATTTGATTCGTTCATCTCTCAAGTCCTCAGTTTGATTTGTTCGTTCATCATGTGGAAGACAGAAGCCAACCGTATGCAGTCAGAGCCTGAAAAAGATTTGATCTGTTCATCTCTCGAGTCTTCGGTTGGAGTCATTCCTTCATCACAAGGAAGACAGAAGCCAGTCATATGCAGTCAGAGCCTGAACTACTTAAGCTGTGTGTTTATTTGAAAATAACAGCAAAATTTGCCAATCAGAGTCAAGCATTCAATAGTATAAATACGGTCATGATACCATCATTAAAATGAGAAATCCAATGATGACCTGAAACGTTTGCATAGTATTAAATTTTCTGATAACATGTCTATGTTGTTAATTTGATTTTTGGTTTTATTCATTCATTTTGAACAGTATAATCCACTCTTAAAAACAATTATTCAAACACAAATACATGTCACTATAATCTGTTGATATTCATGTATGTATAAACCTAAAAACAACAATTGATTTTCTCCAGTTTGGTATGGTATTACTATGTCAAGCTTAACATTTTTATTTACAATTTATTGTGTGTTCTGAATGCAAACAGCAAACAATTTTTTAATTCATCTGTATTTAATTAAAATAGATTTATTGATAAAACCTTGTCATTATTCAGGTTATGGAATTCATTTGAGTTTATTTGCATTATAATTCCATGACTACAGCTCTATAGAAATGAACAGTGATTTTCATGGGAAAGTTGTTGAGGTCTTTCTTAGGAAGGATACATCGTCAGATCCTCCAACACAAGTCTGAGGTTAAAAGGAAAGCACATTAAGATTTACGTCTGAGTCTTTAGCTTTTGATGTGGATGTGATGACAAAGAAATAGACGAAATTCCCTACAGAGGAAGTCACTCATCTGAAGCTCATTATTGCTCGTTATTCCAGTCTGCAGCTGATCTTTAAGTTAAGCCGATCCTGAGTTAACATAGTTATCAGTGTCAGTTCTTTATTTTATTACAGTTAAAGGGCTTGATTGGCATTATACAATATTGCTGAAGTGTTAAACAAAACAAGTAACACAAGAAATGTATTTACAAAATATGTTTTTTCTGAGCATAAGAATAACTTATAAACAGAGGGGGTAATGTTAATTATTGTTTGCAGTATTATTTATTATATCCATAATTATATTTGTTTTGTTTTATTAAAAACAAGCTTAGATTTGTCCACCTGTCAGGTTTCAGACCATATGAGGCACAGCATGTGTATTAGGATATAACTCAGGTTTTTGACCACGCTTTGTTATTATTGGTCATTTATTTGTTTGCTTGAAATTAGAACTGAATTTAGAAATAGTTTTGAAACAAATCTTTGCGTTTAACAAATCAAATTAATTATTTATAGGCTAATTGATGTCTGTGGATACAAGATGTTTTCCTATCCACGAGAGCGAAAGTGAAAGTAGATAATGGAGGCTAATCTCTCATTCTCGTGCTGTAGATGCTCTGTTTAACTGTTTTCTTGCTAGTGAAATGCTCAGTTTTTCTACTTCCACTTACTTTACGTCATGTAAATGGCAAATGCGCTTATGGTGCGACGCAACTGACTCTTCAAGGGAATGGGAGATGAGACTAATTGGTTTATTCTCAAAACACACCTATAACTCATTAAGAAAATAAGCTCAACCCTTTTAGACCATGCGCCACGGCGCAAAGCAGGTTTTCCCGTCTTTATATTAGCAAAAGTGGATTCTGACACGCCCTGCATGCATTTGCACCCTGCGCTTTGCACTTTGCGCATGGAACGTCAAAATAGAGCCCAGAGTGTGTAAAATGAACTGCAGGTGAACTTGTCACAAAAAGAAAAATTGAGACGCATAAAATCACATATGGTGCTATCGCCACAAACACAAACTGTTTTTGCGTGAAACACCGGAGGAAACTAGTGTCGAATGCTGATGTATGAACTATAACATGTAAAACAGTAACATGAAAGGAACAATTCAAAAAGCAACACTTGTAAACCCCTTCATCAAATTATTGTCTTATTCAGGCAAATAATTTGATTACTGATGTCCATGTAAACATTCATTTATTTCTTTTATTTTCGGCTTAGCCTCTTTATTAATCTGGGATCGCCACAGCGTAATGAATTACCAACTTATCCAGCATATGTTTCACGCAGTGGATGTCCTTCCAGCTGCAACCCATCTTTGGAAAACATCCATACACACTCATTTACACTCATACACTACGGACAATTTAGCCTACCCAATTCACCTGTACCGCATGTCTTTGGACTGTGGGGGAAACTGGAACACCCGGAGGAAATCCGGGGAGAACATGCAAGCTACACACAGAAATGCCTGCTGACCTAGCTGAGGCTCGAACCATCGACGCACTACTTACTGCGCTACCACGTCACCCACATGTAAACATAGTCAATGTTATAATTGGAATTGAGAGTGTAATTGTTTGAGTTGTTGTGTTGCTCTGCAGAAGTGCACCGTCCTGTAGACCCGTGTCGGAGCGGCACTCATGACTGTGACGTCCCAGAGCGCGCTCGCTGCAGCTACACTGGAGGATCCTCATACATCTGCACCTGTGCACCGGGATTCATGGGAGATGGCAGACGCTGTCAGGGTGGGTCAGACTACGGAAAACTCATACTCCAGTAAAAGTACCGTGACTTGCCAATAAAACAGGGTCCCCGCGGGTCCTTAAAAAGTCTTGAAATGTCTTAAATAAAATTTTGGATTTTTAAGGTCTGAAAATGTCTTGAATTCTGTAATTTTCCATAAGGAGGTCTTAAATTTCATGTGGGATCTTAAATTTCACGTCCGACTCGTCTTTTTTATTTATTTTTTTCAACCGCTATTTGACCAGCGCAACATTAGGGGGCAGCACTTCGTGGGTGCAACCTGCATCATTCCATAGGTGACATATGAGTAAGTGATTGATGAATGCGTTGCGTTGATACTTCGCAACCACGGCATTTTGCGAAATCGCAAGCATGGGCAAATGTTTGTTTGATGACAATTGGTTGGAGGACGAAAAGTATCGGGGGTGGCTAAAGAAAACAGCCAGTAATCATGAAGGGAGGTGTGCTTTATCTAAAAAGACGATAAAACTTGGGACAATGGGTTGCAAAGCGCTCGATTCACACATGATAGCAGAGAAGCACAAAAAGTATGTAAAGTAGTTTGCTCATAAGTATGTTCTCATCGAGCACTTCGACCTCAGCCTTCCACAAGGCCGTCCACTTCAAGCAATGCCTTCAGCAGCTTTAGAATATAGTTACATTTAAGGCCGAAATACTGTGGGTATTTCAAAGCGTAAGCCGCCACCACTCGTACACCTCAAATTTGGACATCCACCTAGTTTTTCAAGCAATGTTCCCTGACTCAGAGTGTGTGAGTACGTTCACATGTGGAAGAGACAAAACAGTATATTTAGCACGATTTGGTGTTGCCCCATACCTAAAGAAGAAACTAATTTCACGAGCAAACAAGGGCGCTTTCATCATAATGTTCGATGAGTCCATGAACGCAGCAACGAAGACTTAGACTTGCACTTAAGACGTTGGTCAACTGACGAGACCGGTACCCTGTTGTCAAGGTTGTAAGGTCAATCAGCACTCGGCATAAAAGTTTTTGCGTCCCTTTGGCCTGTCTTGAGCGTGGCTCTGGTGAGTTGTGCCATGTTAAGGCTTCACCATATCATTCTGTGTTGACACATTGAACATTTTCCCGTTTTTTTTTGTTTTGTTTAGGTAAAGTCTTAAATTTTAATTTTAGAGGACTTAAAAAGGTCTTAAAAGGTATTAAATTTCCTGTTAAAAAATGTGCAGATACCCTGTAAAATTTTAGTGCAACCAGAGCAAAAATATCTGTTCTAAACACTACTCTTAGTATAAGTAAACGTAGCACTACTAAAAGTACTCGAGTAGTATTACACTGTGAAAATGATTCCACCTTATAACCTGCAGATTAAACATGAAGCTTACATCTGTGACATTTTATTTTTAGTGTTGTTTCTTAGTGTAGATAAAAAAGCTTACATAGAAACTGCAGATTTGTTTCTTTACTGCTGTAATTCATTGAATTAAGATTAGTTTTATGTTGTTATTTTATTATTTAAAAATAAATTAATTTAATTGTTTTTCTTTCAGACATCGATGAGTGTCAGGTGAACCAGTGTCATGAAAATGCTGTCTGTTTCAACACACCCGGATCTTTCTCCTGTCAGTGTAACCCTGGTTTCCATGGTGATGGTTTCTACTGCTCTACAGGTACATTCCTGCTTTAACGTCGACATGAAATAAAAGTTAAGATCATCCTTTTTTTGTGACATACATCTATTATGGTGACATCCATCCATTTGAAATGGTCCTGAAATTAGAAAAAAATGTAGGGAGGTGCATGATTTGGATTGTTGGAAGGTGGGCGTTAACAAAATAAAAAAAGATTGATGAATGGATGAAGGCAGAGCGAAACGAGACGCACCCTAATAGCCCCGGCTTTAAGGTTTGATTGGGGTTGGAACTAAAATATGCAGGACACAGGCCCTTCAGGACCGAGTTTGGACACCACTGATATAGGACTAATAGCCCCGCCCTTAAGGACTAATAGGCCTGCCATATAGGACTAATAGCCCTACTCTAAAGGATTGATAACTCCGCCCTATATTTTTGATAGCCTCACCCTAAATGACTAATAGCCCCGCCCTATAGGACTAATAGCTCCACCCTAAATGACTAATAGCCCCGCCCTATAGGACTAATAGCCCCACCCTAAAGGACTGATAGTCCCACACTAAAAGATTGATAATCCCGCCCAAAATGACTAATAGCACCACCCTATAGGACTAATAGCCCCGCCCAATAGGTCTAATAATCTTGCTATAAACGACTTGTAACCCTGACCTAAAAGACTAATAGTCCCACCCTAAAGGACTGATAACTCCGCCCTAAATTTCTGATAGCCTCACTTTAAATGACTAATAGTCCCGCCCTATAAGAGTAATAGCTCCACCCTAAAAGACTAATAGCCCTGCCTTAAAGGACTAATAGCCCCACCCTAAAATACAGATAACCCGGCCCAAAATGACTGATAGCCTCACCCTAAAGGATTAATAGCCCCACCCTAAAGGACTAATAGCCCCACCCTAAAAGATGGATAATCCCGCCCAAAATGACTAATAGCACCACCCTATAGTAATAATAGCCCCGCCCTATAGGTCTAATAATCTTGCTCTAAACGACTTGTAACCCTGACCTAAAAAAACTAATAGTCCCACCCTAAAGGACTGATAACTCCGCCCTAAATTTCTAATAGCCTCACTCTAAATGACTAATAGTCCCGCCCTATTGGACTAATAGCTCCACCCTAAAAGATTTATAGCCCTGCCTTAAAGGACTAATACTGATAACCCGGCCCTAAATGACTGATAGTCTCACCCTAAAGGACTAATAGCCCCGCCCTAAAAGACTGATATTCTTGTTCTAAATGACTTGTAGCACCACCCTATAGGACTAATAGCCCCGCCCTAAAGGACTAATAGCCCCATCCTAAAGGACTAATAGCCCCGCCCTATAGGACTAATAGCCCCGCCCTAAAAGACTAATAGGCCTGCCCAAAAGGACTAATAGCCCCAGCCTATAGGAGTTTTATGTGACTAGGAAGTGAAAAAAGTTGTTTTGAGAGCGAGAGAAGGTTACGATATGGAATTTAATGATTTTGAGGGCAAGTACATTTTTACAAAATAATGAAGTGCACAGATATATCATTTATAACAAGCATTTTATATATGCAAATCAAATAAGAAGAGTGAACTTTTGAAGTGTAGATCTTGTGCTCATTCTTCTCATTTACTCAGACCATGAATCTCCACATCTGCTTTGCTGGTTCATACCACTGAATACCACAATTACAGGCGTTTTTGTAGAAAATTTATTAGGGATTTTGGACAGTGTGGTTTGTGCGTCATTGCTTAAACATCATGTCTTAAAGGGATAATCCACATAAAAGGAAGAGATTTTGAAGAATGTGGTAGCCCTTGAATTCCATTGTAGGAAAAAATAGATTTTTCAAATGATCTTTTTTTGTGTTCAACAGAATAAAGAAACTCAAGTAGCTTTGTAACTAATGGAGGATGAGTTAATGGTGACAGAATTTATTTATTTCGATTTTATTTGACTGGTTCATTGCAATAAATACCTTAAAAAAAACAGCAACATTACAGGCAAGACTAGAAAATATACTAGCAAAGTATGGTTTGTGCGTCATTGCTTAAACATCCAGCTTTAAAGGGATAATACACCCAAAAATGAACATTTAACCAAGATTTACTACTCAAAGTATGAACAAATGTAGCATTTAACCAACGTTTACTCACCCTTTTTTTCTTTTCTGAAAAGTTTATTTTCTCTGTTGAACTCAAAGGGAGACATTTTAAAGAATGTTGGAAACCTGTAACCATTGATTCCGTAGAAGGAAATATAAATAATATGGAAGTCAATCCATATTATTCACATAGATTATATCAATAATATTGGATAATATTGATGTGATCCAAGACCTGTGGGAAGAGATGATGTCAACCATAGAGGACTTCTAGAGGTATCCATAATCCTGGACCAGGTCGTATCCTGAGCAGATGCTGCGCCAGTCATGGAGGAGTGGAGAGATTCCTAAACGACCCCAGTGACAGACGAGTCCCGTGGGCCAGCCTGAACACCCGCCAGTGACCTGCTTACACCTGCAGCTTCTCCACGATGGATGGTCTAGCATCTGGCGCCTAGACTGCAGCTCTGCACAAGAAGTTTGGACAGAGGAGAAATGGTCGTGCCGAACTTAGCCTGGTTTCTCACGAGTTTCTTTCCTCTAAGTTTTGTTCCTCCGCTGTCGCCACTGGCTTGCTTGGTTTAAAAGTTGTGGAGCTGCGCATCGATGGATTTGCTCTTCAGTGTTTGGACTTTAGGCAGTGTAAATTAAACCACACTGAACTGAACCAAACTGGAGTTTATCTTTAACACAGTTTTAGTTTACTAGAACTTCTATGTTAAGCTGCTTTGACACAATCTACATTACAAAAGCGCCATAGAAATAAAGGCGAATTGGAAGCTGATGGCTGCGGTTTCATTCTTCAAAATATATTTTTTTACAGGAGTAAAAAAGCTCAAATATGTTTGGAACAAGCGGAGAATTTGTAAATGATGAATTTTTAATTTAATTAAATTGCATCTCAGCCTGCCTGTTGGACATTTCACACTGGATGAAAGATCATCATCTTACTTCAATCCAGGTGGATGGGGCAACCAATACTGCATCCAAAATGGTGAAAAGCCTTGGAGTAACGATTGACGACCAACTAAACTTCTCTGACCACATTTCTAGAACTGCTCGATCGTGCAGATTCGCACTCTATAACATCAGAAAGATCCGACCCTTCTTATCTGAACATGCAGCTCAACTCCTTGTTCAAGCTCTTGTTCTCTCCAGACTGGATTACTGCAACTCTCTACTAGCCGAGCTTCCAGCTAACTCTATCAAACCTCTTCAGCTGCTTCAGAACGCAGCAGCACGAGTGGTCTTTAATGAACCTAAAAGAGCACATGTCACTCCGCTGCTCATCCGTTTGCACTGGCTGCCAGTTGCTGCTCGCATCAAATTGAAAGCTCTGATGCTTGCCTACAAAGCGACTTCTGGCTTTGCTCCTTCTTATCTGCTCTCACTTCTGCAGATTTATGTGCCCTCCAGAAACTTGCGTTCTGTGAATGAACGTCGCCTCGTGGTTCCATCCCAAAGAGGGAAGAAATCACTTTCCCGAACTCTCGCATTCAATCTGCCCAGTTGGTGGAATGAACTCCTTAACTGCATCAGAATGGCAGAGTCACTCGCTGTCTTCATGAAACGACTAAAAATTCAACTATTTAGTCTCCACTTCACTTCCTAATCTGCAATTCCCTCTCTGGATATACCACTAACTGTACCCAAAAAAAAAATTACTAATACTTTCCTTCTTAGACTTTACAGACCTGAAACTTGCCTATAGCACTTATTCATTGTTGCTCTTAGTTGTGTAAATTGCTTCCTTGTCCTCATTTGTAAGTCGCTTTGGATAAAGGCGTCTGCTAAATGACTAAATGTAAATGTAAATTTAATTGTTTATATATTTATTTAAAGTATATATATTTGTTTTATAAGAATGTTTTCAAAAGAAGCAGCTAATCACACTGTTATTTAGAGGCTCTTTTCACCCACAGTTCATACTACAAACCTTATCAGTTGTTCTAATGATGGATGACCCTCAACTCTTTAAATATTACAACATGACCTGACCTCTCGACCCTTGAGTTATGCCACGGTTTAACCCTGTCAGCATGAATATAAACCCGACAGCTGCTTGTCTGCTGGGAACCGGCCAGTTGCTTGAGTTTCTCAGAGTTTTAAAACCCAAGCATGTAATGCAAATTATTGAATATTACAGTCTGTTTACAAGCTGGAATGATGTCTGTGTGTCTGTTAGGCTGTGCAATAGGGCTGCACGATTCTGGCTAAAACGAGAATCACAACTTTTATTTTGACTTTAAATGGTGGAATTGAATATACTAGACATTTGTCCTGGTTAATTCACTGTAAAGGTGCATCAGAATGCAACTATTTATAGTTTTTTTTTTAACAAGTGTTTTAATAGTTTTACATTTTCAACAATTACCAAACAACACAACAATAATAAAAAATACAAGGAATAAGCATGATAATACAAAAAGAAGTAATGGTAATGATAATTAAAATAAAGAAAAATAGATAAAAGAAAATAAAAAATAAAAATATATAACAAAATTAAGTTATTATAAAAAAACAATTAGGGCATATAAACGGTTTCTATGAAAATACAAAAAGACAGTCAATAGGGGTAGTGAGCATATTACGCATTACACTGCTGTTCAGAATCCACATTATATTGGTCCAGGTGATCAAGAAATGGTTGCCATATATTATAAAACTTAGCAAGATTATCAATAACTCCATATCGGACTGAGATAAGTTAACCATGTCTTAAATTGAGGAACAGAATCTGAATCAGAATCGTTTTAGGATGACACTCTTAGCAATAATCATTCCATAAATGATGGTGCTTTGTATATACACATTGTGATCCAGCAAAGATCTAGAGTATCCAAATATAGCAATTTCTGGCTCGGGTGTCAAGGTAAAAAAAACATACATATCAGAAAACCATTTAAATATGTCACACCAGAAATTATAAAGTTTTGGGCACGTCCAAAAGAGGTGGTTCAGGGAGCCTTCAGCAGACTTACACTGGTCACATGTAGGGGAAATGGTAGAAAAAATTCTGTGTAATTTAGATTTTGAATAGTGCAGTCTATGCATTACTTTATATTGAATTAACTGATGCCTGGAATTAATAGAACAGGATCAGTAGGAATTCTACTGAGGCTTTCCACCAACTATTCATAATTTTTAAGTTGAATTATTATGTTAGAGACATATGCTTTTCATTTGTCATTGACAACGTTATTAGAACTATTTTCACAGTTAAAATTAGACATTTGTCATTATCAGATTCCCTCTTGCATTATATTCAACATTATAGGCTAGAGTAGTTACAATGGCACTGTTGAATATTTATTTTCATGCACTTTGTGTTCACTATGAAAGAAAAAAACATTTCAAATGATTGTCGCCATTATAACTTTCAATGCAATATGATCATTTAAATGATGTGCGCGGTTTTGGTTTCACTTTCATTACTGAGTGTGGTTCATGTCATGGTTGTCGTCACTCTGAGAAAAAAACGACTGCCATTATGCTTCTCCCGAACTTATAATTGGCTGAATTGTAGAGATGCTAAATTAAGATTTGTGTGATGGGTCGAATAGAGATCACAATCTTTTTTTAATTAATCAGGCAGCCCTACTGTGCAATATAATAATAATAATAATAATAATAATTCTTTTGTTTCATATTATGCTTTTATTATTTATTTTGTGGTGTCGTAAAATACATAGTTTATGATAATACCTTTCTAGCATTTAGATGAGCTTAAATACAATTCTGAAATGTGATTAATGTGAATAAGAGAGGATAGAAAGTACAATATTTACATTTTGCGTTTTATTTAGCAATATTTTAGGTTGGACATGTAAGCATTAGTTTTTGTTAAGTGTTTTATATTTCATTAATATTTATTGTAATAAAGAAACCACATGTATGAGTATATACTTTAATATGTAACATATGTACAGTGTGTAAATATACAGTTAAAGTCAGAATTATTGGCCCTCTTGTTAAATTTTAATTATTTTATTTTTTCCTAATTTCTGTTTAAAGGAGAGAAGATTTCACATTTCTAAACCTAATAATTTTAATAACTAATTTCTAATAACTGATTTCGTTTATCTTTGCCATGATTACAGTAAATAATATTTGACTAGATATTTGACTTAAAGTGTAATATAATATTTGAACTAAAGTGACATTTAAAGGCTTCACTAGATTATTTAGGGTAAAGTTATAGGGTTATTAGGTAAGTCATTGTATAACAGTGGTTTGTTCTGCAGACAATCCAAAACAAACATTGCCTATTGGGGCTAATAATATTGACCTTAAAATGGGTTTACAACAATTAAAAACTGTTTTTTTTCTAGCCGAAATAAAACAAGTAAGACTTTCTCCAGAAGAAAAAATATTGTAGGAAATACTGTGAAGAATTCCTGAATCTGTTCAACATCATTTGGGAAATATTTGAAAAGAACTTCACAGGAGGGCTTAAAATTTTGACTTCAGCTCTATATATAAATATACAGTGCTCAGCATATATGAGTACACCCCTCACAAATCTCTCATTTAAATTAATATTTTCTAAAGGAAGCTTTACAATATTATATTTGAGCACATATATTAGTCTAGTCAGTACTGAAGCTTTGTTGAAATAATGAAGTTTGTAAATTTGTTTGCAATATTTTGCATTTTAATAATTTTTCCATTTCTAAAGATGGTTTGTGATTAAAATATTGTTTTAATAAATATATCTATTTGATAAATCTGTTTTGTTTAAATGCACCAATATATATCACCCGTATTCACTGAGAAATGGCTAAAATTATTCATTTTCAAAATGGGGTGTACTCATATTTGCTGAGCACTGCATATATATATATATATATATATATATATATATATATATATATATATATATATATATATATATATATATATATATATATAGACATGCATATATTACATATTAAAGTATATACTCATACATTTAGTTTCTTTATTAAAATAAATATTAATGAAATATAAAACACTTAACAAAAACTAATGCTTACATGTCCAACCTAAAATATTGCTAATTAAAATGCAAAATGTAAATATTGTACTTTCTGGCGTCTCTTATTCACATTAATCACATTTCAGAATTGTTTTTGAGCTCATATATATATATATATATATATATATATATATATATATATATATATATATATATATATATATATACTTCCATACTCCTATTACTCACCAAAACAAACTTTTAGCAGCCAATTTCAAAATGTCAAGTCTTAAATAATCTACAGAACATGACATCATATTTTGCTAGTCATTCTTAAAGTCTGTAATAAACGTGCATGCTTTAAAACACTGTCAGCACCCATGATTGACTAAAGCTGTCTTCTCTGAGCGCCGTCATGATTGTTCTAGCGATGGTAATTGATTAGTGTGCAGAGAGTTGAGTTCTGTTGTTTTAGCCTGATTTGCTTTCCAGAGACAAGCAGATGGAGGTTGTTTTTACACTGATGTAATGTACCGCAGCAGATCGATTCAACTCACACAAGCATAAATCTGTTTCAGGTTTAAACCCGGGGCTTTAGCACTGATTGATTTTTCAGTGGAAATCCTGGACATTCTTAGAAAGAGATGAAGTTTGATCTTCAGTGCTGCTCTGCATAATCCCGTGCCTCAAAACTTTAGTTAACCAGCCAAAATAGGAAAGCCTGATATATGAACAGAATATGAATAGAAAATAAAAACATTAGGTTTTTTAAATATTAGTTTTTTTATGCCAAATAATGTTTGTGTGTGCATTTTTCTTGAGTGTCATTTTTGAAATACCAAGCTACATATCAAGCAAACCTGTTTACTGTTATTTGAAGTTAGCTTGTGTTTTTATTTCCTGCAGAACGTGAAAAGACGCGTTGCGAGCTGCACAAGGAAAGTGTTGTCGGGTTTGGCCCTCATAGTGCTCGTCCTCAGCCTGGTCGGTTTGTGCCCACCTGTGACGCTCAGGGCAGGTACGAGCCCATGCAGTGTCACGCCAGCATCGGCCAGTGCTGGTGTGTGGACCGTGATGGAGAGGAGATCTCTGGCACTCGCACAGGACCGGGACGCTTTCCTGTCTGTGAGTACAACACATTAATACAGGTGTATGTCTTGTGACGAAACAATATTATGTTGAAATTCTTGATTCTTATTCTGTCATATCAGTGCGATGATATTTATTTAGTTTTTATTGGAATTTCAGATAATACAAATAGTCGCACAATCAGACTAACAAACATGCATTACCAACCCAGGCTCATTCTGAAAACGTAGTCCAGCGGACGTTTCTGGAGGCCGCGAAATACGTCCCGGGAGGTACGTATTTGTGCAGTTTTTGTTTTCGCTAGTTCGCGAGAGGCCGCTGTGTGCGCTTTTTCGTATGTTGAACATCTCTCGTGAGTGCCGTTCGCGCCCGTGCTGTTCTCGCATCAACCCACCAGAGGCCGCTGTCTGACTGACCGAATGATTGACTGCGCGACCGGCCAATCGGCTGACCCACCCTCCTCCTTCCCTAAACCCAACCAGTTTTATTGATTGACCCGCCCGCCCGCTCACTTCCCTAAACCCAAGCAACAATATAGAAAAGCCGTCTAGAAAAAGAAAAGCCCTCGTCTGTTTTTTTTTTTTTACCACGTTTTCGGATTTCACCGAGTTCTCACCCTGTTATGAACTCGTTCGCTTTATATTTTGGATTCTGTTTTTGTCTTACCTGGTTTCTGGAACCGCTCTTTCCCGGACTCAAACCCTAACGCCTTTGTCAACTCCTCCTCTCTGCATCTGAAGTCCGCCGACGCACACGATGCGCTGACCGGACAAACTGACTGCAGCGGGAAAGCCCTCCACACGGAGGTAAGTGGTCAGCCGGCAAGCGCTAAAGTGAACAGCGTCACACCGCCCCATATCGTTTGCTTAAAAAAATGAAATGCAGCCATACGTACCTCCCGGGACGTATTTCGCGGTCTCCAGAAACGTCCGCTGGACTACATTTTCAGAATGAGCCTGGGTTGTACATACCAGACCCCAAGTGCTAAGAATTAAATAATGCAACCCTGAAAATGGACATGTCTACCTGCTCAATAACAAAAGCTATCAGGAATGGAAAAGCTGTGGTATTCTTGAGATTAAATAATAATAATAATAATTCATTTTATTTATAAATGGCGCCTTTCTGGACACCCAAGGTCGCCTTACAGTAAGCATCAGCAGACATTCTAAACAACTTAAACATTACTAAAAACAATCATTGACCAAACAAGTTAAAACGCAATAGCGAATATAAAAGAACATAATAAAAACATGATAAAAAAAATTGTTAAGTAAAAGCCTGCTTAAAAAGATGGGTCTTTAGACGTGATTTAAAATTGTGAAGACTATCACTGCTCCTAAGATCTACTGGAAGTGAGTTCCATAGCCTAGGAGCCATAGAGCTAAAAGATCTGTCTCCCATTTTGCTCAGTCGAGTGCGAGGTGGTGCCAGAGTGAAGTTGTTAGCTGACCTAAGGGTACGAGAAGGGGTGTAGATATGGAGAAGTTCAGTGAGATATTGAGGAGCGAGATTATGAAGTGCCTTGAAAGTTAGAAGTAATATTTCAAAATCAATTCGATACTTTACTGGAAGCCAGTGAAGCTGATAGAGGAGTGGTGTGGCGTGCTTGTGAGATGGGGTCAGAGTTTTTCAGAGTTTTGGTAAAATGGAGTGGAGAGTTTCTCAGAGCGTCCAGAATTTGTCTGATTTGAAGCTGGTTTGACCTGTCCGTGTGAGCACATTGCTCCTGAATAGCATTTCTTTTTAATTTCAGTCTTTACTTTAACCTAATAAAAAGAAAAGTGTCATAATAAATACAATTATTATTATTAAAAATGGAAATATGTGTTGTTTATCGCATATAGTTATCTATTTATGTGATGTCGATAAATGGTGTGTTTCAATCCGGCTACCACCGCAAGTGCGGGAAGCACTGTAATTGATTGTTTTTTCCAATAAGGTGGATGAAATAAATACAAGTGTCGTTTACATTAAAAAATAATAATACAAAAACATTGATTTAAAAAGTATTTTGTGACACCCACATCCGTCATTAAAACGCAGGTTTATGTTTTAAATTTGGTTAATTTTGGTTAATTTATCGGACTTAAGCACTTCACCTCAAAGGTTATTTGTTATTCATGTATTCCCTTAAATAATGTAGCCTAGTTGTCTTTTTAATGAAAAATGAAGCACTTATAATGCTTTGTTTTATTGTTTATCTTTATTTACAATTTAGGGTTAGGAGTATTTACAGCTAATGTATATTCTGTCCATTCGCATCCCGTCTCTTTGTGCCACCTGGCGGCATAGTCGCAAACTGCGGTCATACCTAAAGAAACCCCTCTTTTTCCTTTAAAGTGGCGGCGGTAGATCGTACGGCGGTAATGGTCACATTGAACTCTCACCTACTGTATATAAAAAAAAATCCACAGAAGGGCGAATAATTTTGACTTCAACTGATAACCGTTTTCAATAATCGTGATTACAGTTATGACCAAAATATTCGTGATTATGATTTTTCCCATAATCGAGCAGCCCTACAATGTATTTTCGATTAAAACTGAATAAACTAATAATACAAGCTCATCCAGGTAGTATATATATACATATATATATATATATATATATATATATATATATATATATATATATATATATATATATACACACACACATATATATATGCAGGGCTTTACATTAACTTTTTTTGATCACCAGCCACAGTGGCTAGTAGTTTTCCAACATTACTAGCCGCTCTGCATTTTCACTAGCCACACTTTTGTTGTTGGGAAAATATTTTTTATATGAATAAATATGACTTTGACATGATAAAATTACTTGATTTATATTTTGTGTTTTGTCCACATGGCGCTCATTCATTTCACGTTTTGTGTATCGTGTATGAGCAAATAGGTCATGGTTTCATAGTGTTATACTGCAATTAGTTTTTATTTCACATGAGTTTTCAGAACTCAAAATTAAGGATTTACCTAATTAATCTCTGAACACACCAAACAAAAATAATTTCTTAGCCACAAATTTTAAATGTGTCAAACAAGCTAAATAAAGCTGTATACTATACTTTTTTTATTTAACAAAACATTTATTTTAAAAGAACAAAGAAAAACAATTGACCTTTAAAAATAATTATTGTCATATATCAAAAATATGCACCGACATCTGTCCTGGTTAAAAGTCTCTCAGATCACCAGTTAACTACACATAAATGGAGAGTTAATCTCATATTAAAGCAAATGTTGTTGTAAAAAATGATAATTAAACCATATAAACAAAAATAATGGAAGGATGATCACACGGTTAAGGCCAATTAATAATCTGTTCAAAGCGAAAGCAACCGGTGCTGCTTACAAAAAGACATATTTGGAGCTCTTGAAAGCACCAAGACTGTATGTGCATTAGCATTACTTTTTTGCCTGAATATTTGAAAGAGATCCGATCACAGTTGCGTTCCAGGCACGCGTGCTTCAAGGAAGGAAACAGGAGCGCGCACTCGCTTTAAACAGTCGCGCGCATCACATCAGCTGTTAGCGCGAGTGATTATCCTCTCATTCGGTATTCATCTGCTTTCTTCTGCTCGCGCGAATGCAATTTTTTTGTTAGTCGTGCTGTTTCTCTATTCTAACATCACATTTGCACACATATTGGGTCATTCTTATAGTCGAACCCTGCTTTTAAGAAAACCACAATTTAAAATTTATTTTTAACCAGAAAAAGTGGCTAGTGGGAGTGACTGTCTAACCCACCAAAGCTGAAATCTACCCGCATTTGGCGGGTTGGCGGGTGTTAATGTAAAGCCCTCTATATATATATATATATATATATATATATATATATATATATATATATATATATATATATATATATATATATATATATATATATATATATATATATATTCCTGTCAGGAAGAAATTTATAGCTCCTTATATTTTAGATATATTGATAGTATTATAGATTGGTTTGGCAAAAGTTCATTACACCTAAATATTGGGAAAACAAAAGAGTTATGTCTGGGGAGTCAAACAAGAAGAGTAGATACTGGACTCTTTAAACCAGTCACCATAAACGGACAAATAGTAGAGCAGGTTTCAAATTTCAAGTATTTAGGCACAATTATTGACCATAAACTGAATTTTAATAGTAATGTAGAGGTGGTTTATAAGAAAGCAAGTCAGCGCCTCTATCTCCTCCGCAAATTGAGAAGTTTTAATGTTAGTACACAGACTTTAAACTTGGCATATAGATCACTTATAGAGAGTGTTCTCACATATAATATTGTTTCGTGGTTTGGTAACACAACACTTAAACAGAAAAAGAAATTAGCGCAAATTATCAATCAGGCAAATAAGATAACAGGTCACAAACAGCATTCATTGCAGATTTTATTTGACTCTTTTATGGAAAAAAGAGCAGTTGTGATTTTTAAAGATAATACACATCCCCTTCACTCAGCATTTGAATTGCTACTATCAGGACGCAGGTTTAGGATTCCTAAAGCATGAAGAAATGCTTATAAAAAGTCATTTATCCCAATGGCAGTTGTTGTTCTAAACCGGATCAGTGTTTGTAGTGAATGAGGGGGTTACCAAGAATGATTTGCAGTATTGTGCATGGGGCTAATTTGGTTTTTAAACTTTTAACTTATGTTGTTGTCTTGATAAGTGTTATTGTGTCGTTGTTGTATGTTTGTAATTGTTGTCCTAAATCCAGTGTTGAAGAAAAATTTCCTTTCTGTGTCAAGCAGAACGGACAATAAAGTTTAAACTAAACTAAAACTAACTAACTATATATATATATATATATATATATATATATATATATATATATATATATATATATATATATATATATATATATATATATATGTATAAACACATTTTCTTATCAGTTTGTTGTTCCATCTTGCAACTGAATAATAATAAGAAGACTATTTATAATAATAAAAAACTATTTATTTTACGTTTAATTAAAGAGCTAGTCAATTATTAGGGCTCGGATCAATGTTTTCTGTCTAAATATTGAGTTTTGTTGCAAGTAGCTGAATTGAGTTGTTAACGCAGAATAAACTCCTTCAGTCTTATACAGCAGCTGCTGATAAACTTGACAGAATTTATTTTGTGAAAACAGTCGGCAGGATGTACATTATCCCTTGCTTATCTCCATGTATCTTCTGTTTTTCAGGTCGTGGTCATGATGAGTCTGGCCCGATTCGACCCACACCTAACCCAAACATCAGTCCTCTACCTCCCGGCAGTCACATCCTCTTCACTCAGAGTGGGAAAATTGAGTATATTCCTTTGGATGGCCACAACCTGAAGAAGAACGAAGCCAAGACTGCACTGCATCTCCCGGTACACATTTAACCTCCACACATCTGTCAGTGTAGTGGGAATCAGCCTATTAAAACTCCACATGGTTTAGCCGATCAAAAAATGCATGTCTTGATATGTGTTATTGAAAGCGTGCAGTAATAAATGCAGTGAATAAAATATATGTTATTTTACTAAAGAGCAGGTTATATGCTATTTTAAAGTGTAGTAATATTGTGTTGGAGTCCTCTACATCAGGTTTAAATTCATGCAAGGTATGAAAACATTGTAATTTTCTCAGAATTTGCATTTCATATTAAAAATAATGTTTAGCAAAAATTTTGATATGTATTTTTATCAGTGAGGGGATTAGAGTCTGTAAACCCCTCCTCCTTCCTTAAGCAAACTCTTCTCTGATTGGTCAGGTGGCCAAGTTTTTTTTAATTGGTCTTTCTTTGTCTGAAATGAATTGCCCATTTCAGAGAATTTATAGGTCAGAGGCAAGATTATGCAAATTGGAGCATGCTGATGTAGATCACTAGCAGACAAAAGATGACCCGTTAAGGCAGGGGTGTCAAACTCAATTCCTGGAGGGCCGAAGCCCTGCACAGTTTAGTTCCAACCCTGCTCCAACACACTTACCTGTAGGTTTCAAACAAGCCTGAAGGACTCAATTAGTTTGATCAGGTGTGTTTAATTAGGGTTGGAACTAAACTGTGCAGAGCTGCGGCCCTTTTGGAACTGAGTTTGACACCTGTGAGTTAAGGAGATTCAAAGGCGTCTCTTTTTTCATAGCAACATTTTTATTTATCATGCACGTTTTTTTTATTTATAACTTTACAGACTGTTTACGTTGAAGAACAACTGTTACAAACTGCAAATAAGATATTCTTTGAAAACCCATATGTGCTGTTTTTTAATTTGTAGGTGTTGATTTGTTTTTTTAATGGAGCGTTTAGTTAATCAACCCAATAACTACTCCTTTTGGTATACAAATATTGCAATTACAACGTCAACACAATTTTAAAAGATATAAAAACTTTAGGGCGAAGCAGTGGCGCAGTAGGTAGTGCTGTCGCCTCACAGCAAGAAGGTCGCTGGTTCGAGCCTCGGCTCAGTTGGCGTTTCTGTGTGGAGTTTGCATGTTCTCCCTGCGTTTGCGTGGGTTTCCTCCGGGTGCTCCAGTTTCCATGCGGTACAGGCGAATTGGGTAGGCTAAATTGTCCATAGTGTATGAGTGTGTGTGTGAATGAGTGTGTGGATGTTTCCCAGAGATGGGTTGCAACTGGAAGCCGTAAAAACTTGCTGGATAAGTTGGTGGTTCATTCCGCTGTGGTGACCCCAGATTAATAAAGGGACTAAGCTGACAAGAAAATGAATGAATGAATGAATGAATAAATGAATAAAAACTTTAGAAATTAGGTAAAGCCAAACAGACAGTGGTTAATGATGAACCATTAAAATGTTTTCATGTTTTTAAACACAAAACAAACCTCTTGACTATGGCAGACAGATATGCAAATCAAATCAAATTGTCAAATACAGAGTCATACAGAGTATGATATGCAGTGAAATGCTTACACAACTGCTCATGATCTTAAAATACAGCAATAACAACAATAATAATAATATTAACAATAAATATCTAAATTAATGAGAAGTAATAGTTATGCTATAGAAAATAAAAGCAAATAATTAAAGACTTAAATATATCTAAATAAGTGCGTAACTTATTGTTATGTTCATTTCAAAGCTGCTCAAAGCTAGAGTAGTTTCATTAAAGGGGTCATGCACCTCTCATTTCATACTGATATGATATCCGTTATCAAGGGTTTTATATTAAAACAACTTTAGAATTTACTGTTTTGTGCTGTCTTTCACCCTCATCAGAATGATCTGTATGAATGGGCGTGGCTTAAGGTAGACTCTGAAGTGAACAGCCGCTGTTTTGCATATTAACGAAGCTAAACAGGCAGTGAATTAGAAGTAGGCATGGATCTTCTGTGGAGGCACCTCATTACATCACAGAGCAGTGATTTTGGCCGACGGTCTTCAATATAAGCAGTTTTTAGAGAAACTGTATTATTTTGAATTCTGAAACTTGCAGGATGATTCTATAGTTTTTATAGATGAAGGCAATTTTGACCTCTTTTATTAACAATAATGTATAATATACTTTTGTTAGTTTTGAATTGCATTTGATTCCTTTAAATCTGTATGTGCTTGCGTGGTGGATGTTTTAGGATACATTGGCCTTGTTCGACTCTGTAGATTCATCCAGAAGTCTGTGCTCTGATTCATTCTCTGTTGCTTTGAAGCTTCATTAACGCAAAGCTCATTTAGTGATGTTAGTAACTTCAGAATGAACTTGCGTCTTCGCGGTTAACGTTTTGCTCGTAGTTTGTCTTTCTCGGCTCAGTTGTTGATAACCGAGAGTCAGAGAACTGCTGGGGGCTCGCTGGGGAATTCTAGGATTGCCTAACATTGTTTTTCTTGGAAATATTTGCATGAGAGAAATTGTGTTTATCGGAGCCATATGCTGTTTCTGCTGATTACATAACCTCGTCGGCCTTAAACCAGAAGAATGTGAGGAGAGATTTTCAGGAAAAGCAAAGGAGAGTATTTACACAAGAAAATGATGTTAACATGCATGAAAGCAGACTCCTTTGACTGATTCTGACGGAATATAAAGATATACATGTAAAGATTTGTTTTGCTCAACAAGCTTTCAACTATTTGATTAAAAATGCAGTAAAAGCACTGTATTAAAATGTTATAACTATTCAAATTAACCAAGCATGCTCTTATATAATCTAAACCCACAGAAATCTGCAGAACATGTAAAATGGCGTTCCTAAAGCACATCTTTATGCATTTACTCTATTATACATTCAACTATAAAGCTTAGCTCTATTTAACATAATCCAAATCCAGAGCAAGAAGTGTTAACAGATCTATGAACACAAAGTTAGATAACTTTTGGTCTGTTTATATCTAACATTGTCATCCTGAAGGTAATCTTTCTGCTGCACTGACATCTCAGCACTATTGAAGCAGTGCAGCTAGTGTATCTGTTCAAAAGTATTGTGATTTTTCACTATTTCTCATTGCTTTCTAGATATGGCATATGCACATGGTTCTTATTTTTATTTACTGACTCCTGAAATGAACTTTTTTAAGGTTTATTGTGTGCAGAACTGTGGGAATTTATAAATCTGGTCTCATTTACTGCTCACATGCTATCATTTACTGTAATGACTAACATCAGTGAAGCTTATAAACAAGGGGAGATTCATGCATGTGTTAGTAACAGAAATGCTCAGAGATTCATTTGGCTCATTTCGGATGTGTGGTTTTGTCTAGACAGCATTCGCAGACGGCCTTTTGAATGCCTGAGGCCAGTGGAGTGTGTTGTCATCTTAAATAAATCCATGATTTTTTTTTTTGCAGGAGAAAGTAGTGATTGGAATTGCGTATGACTGCGTTGAGAAGATGATTTACTGGACAGACATCAGCACACCTGCTATTAGCAGAGCTAATCTACAAGGAGGAGAACCGGTCCAACTCATTAAATCAGGTAACATATAGTTGAGGATATGCTGCTGTAGTCTCTCGTGTTGTCCCACAACAACATTAAAATAGTGTAGATTAGTGTACGATGATTTATATTCATTTTATAGTCATTTGACAAATTCGATTTTTAAGTAATGCAATAAGTAGTTACTTTCATAATTATGTACCTCAGATACTAACTCGGTTACTATTGTTGAGATAAACTAATAAAATTTTTGAGGAACGCAGTAAGCGACGCAGTGGCGCAGTAGGTAGTGCTGTCGCCTCACAGCAAGAAGGTCACTGGGTCGCTGGTTCGAACCTCGATTCAGTTGTCGTTTCTGTGTGGAGTTTGCATGTTCTCCGGTTTCCCTCACAGTCCAAAGACATGCGGTACAGGTGAATTGGGTAGGCTAAATTGTCCGTAGTGTATGAGTGTGTGGATGTTTCCCAGAGATGGGTTGCGACTGGAAGGGCATCCGCTGCGTAAAAACTTGCAGGATAAGTTGGTGGTTCATTCCGCTGTGGCGACCCCGGATTAATAAAGGGATTAAGCCGACAAGAAAATGAATAAATGAAGGATCGCAGTAATGGACGAATTACATTTTTAATTTGTGTAATTTGATTACAGTTACTAAAGTCATTGTAATGGCGTTACTTAGGTTACAAATATAGTCAACCCAAGCTCATTCTGAATACATAGCCCAGCGGACGTTTCTGAAGACCGTAATTTACGTGGTCAGAGGTATGTATGACTGCATTTTGTTTGTTCAAGCGAAGGCTACGGGGCGGTGCGACGCCGCTCCTCTTTGCACTCGCCGGCTGACGGCTCACCTCAACCAGTTTGTCTGGTTAGCTTGTTGTCTTATGTCAGCGGAGCAGAGGCCCAGTGGAGGAGCCAACCACGGCGACGACCGGGTTTGAGTCTGGGGAAGACCGGTTTAAAGCCAACTTTACTGAGCTAGGAGGTGATTGGTTTTCTAAAGTATTTCCCAGTTCACGCTCGAGGGCTCGTGCAGCTTCACGGAGCCGCTGAGGAACAGACTTCGCCATGTTTATGCTGCCAATTGTCTCAAATAGTCCTCGCTGCAGCTGTGACGACATAACCTAAAACCCGCAGCAACGGCTGCCGTCTGTGGGCGTGGCCAGGCCAGAATGCATTTTCAATTTCAAATCGGCTTTCATTCGTCGCGATGTGTTAAATGAAAATGCATTATGTTTTTTTCATTTTCGTTTTCATTCTGCCGCAAACATTGCACATATGTCTAAAATGCTAACTGAAATACAGAAATACTCTGCCATTGACATATTGCATTATCGTTTTACGAATTACATTTCAAAATTAATTTTGCTACACACATCCCATACTGTTATGCTGAAAATGTAATCCTGCGTTTCCTAGACCCGAGTGTAAATGCATTTAGGACAAACAGCATTTAAATTATCATTTTGCTACAGTTTCTGCTTGTACTTTATTATTAGTACTTTATTAGTTAGTAGCTGAATTTGCATTTAAATAGTTGAGTAAATGCAGTATTTTTGTTTCCGTCCAATAAAATGCATGGCATTTAGAGGTCCATTGAGACATTACAATTGTTCACAATCTAATTCAATCTCAAACTGATTTTTGTTTCAGACATTGGCAGTCCTGAGGGAATTGCTATCGACCATCTGGGCAGAAACATGTTCTGGACAGACTCCATGAAGGACAGGATTGAAGTTTCCTCACTAGACGGAACTCAGCGTCGTGTTTTGGTTAACACTGACCTGGTTAACCCGAGAGCCATCCTCACCGATTCCACTAATGGGTGCGTAGCTAACTAGGAACAACAAGGGTCTAAACAATCATATTACACAGCTCTCTGGAATACTGGATTCTGATTGGTTAATCACAACGTACCCATTTATGTCATTCCCAGATAACAATGATTAAACTAACAACACAGGCTAACAAATTACTACAGCTCAGATGAATGTTTTATGTATAATTGTTTAGTTTGGCATTCAGTTGTCACTGCAGAAAAAAAGTCTCGTACAACAGCTGCTGATAAACCTGACAGGCTTTATTCTGTGATAACAACCGACTGGATGTACATTATCCTGGTCACACTTTACAATAAGATTAGGTAATGTATTTACTAACTTGAACTAATTATGTACAATACTTGTACAGTATTTATTAATCATTGTTCAACATTTAATAATGCAGTTTTTACATCCAAATGCATGCTTGTTACATTTGCTAATGCGCTGTGAGTTAACATGAACTATCAATGATGCAAAGTACAGTTTCATGGCTGGTAAGTAGTATTTATGAAAGCACATTCAGCTGTGTTTTATAGTGTATAAAGTCAATATCAATTTAAAGTGCACTATGCACTTTATTCATATATTCATTTTCCTCCGGCTTAGTCCCTATTAAGCCTGGTTTGGTAGTTACATTTTTTGAGAGGTGCACGTCAGCGACGCCGACGGCCACGGCGTAGATGTATAACGACGCAGAAGTATAAATCAGCCTTTAATCAGGGGTTCCCGCAGCAAAATGAACCGCCAACTTTTGCAGCATATGTTTTACGCAGCGGATGCCCTTCCAGCTGCAGCACATCACTGACAAACGCCTGTACACTCCCATTCACACACATACAATATGGACAATTTACTTCACCAATTCCCCTATAATGCATGTGCATGGACTGTGGGGGAAACCAGAGCACCTGGAAACCCACGCCAACACAGGAAGAACATGCAAACTCCACACATGGAAAGCCAAATGACCCTGCCGAAGCTCGAACCAGCAACTTTCTTACTGTGAGGTGATTGCGCTACCCACTGCTCCACCACACCACCCCACTATGCAATATTTGTTATGTGTGTGTGTGTGTATATATATATATATATATATATATTATATTATATAATATAATATATATATATAATATTTCAGCAGTAAAGGGGCGTGTTCAGTAAGTATAGTGAAGATTTTAAATAGGGTGGAGATGTCACATAACCAGCAATCTGTTCCTGAAAGATCGCTGGCATACTACACATGTCATTCATGAACTACATATCCCAGCATGCCTTTGCACAAACCAGTCACCATTAATCACACACAGCTGAATATCGTCATCATCAATTGTTGGGACTATTTATACACATTGCACACACCAGTCAATGCGGAATCTTTGTTTGTCAGTACCTGTATGGTTTCAGCGAGTGTCGTCCTGTTTAGTTTTTCTAATTATGTTTTGATGATTGTTTTGTAACTGTTTGTACTTTGATCATCGCTTTGTTTTTGCATTTTTCGATGCCCTTCATGATTCCCGAGTTCTTGTTTTTTGACCTCATTTGTTTTTGCTGCACGAATAATCTTTTTCATTGAAATTGCATTTGGATCCAACCTCTTGTTTTCGTTCCCTTGACATCCGGTGACAGGAGACTTGTTGGGTTATAGATGTATTTGTTTTGGTGCTTTTGAAATTTTTTATGCATATTCATTTTTAAACACTTTAATGCACATTTATAGTTCACCTCCAACATGCTTCGGTAACACTTTACAATAAGATTCATTAGTTAATGCATTTACTAACATGATCTAATCATGAACAACACTTGTACAGCATTTATTAATCATAATTGAACATTTACTAATGCATTATTAACATCCAAGTCTGTGCTTGTTAACATTAGTTAATGCACCATGAGTTAACATCAACTAACAATGAACTACTGTAATTTCATTAACTAACGTTTACTAACATGAACAAATACTGTAGTAAATGTATTGTTCATTGTTTGTTCATGTTAGTAAATGCATTAATTAACATTTACTAATAAACCTTATTGTAAAGTGTGACCCGTGGTTCAAAACCTGTGAGTTTCTTTCTGCAGTTGAACACATAAGAGTATATTTTGGAGAAAGCTGAAAACATGTAACCATTGACTTTTATAGTAGGAAAAAATACTATTAAAATACAAATACTATTAAAAATTTGTGTTCAGCAGAAGAAAAAAAGGTGTGTAAATCATAATAGAATTTTCAGTTTTGGGTGTACTATCTCTTTAAGGATTTTAAGGCATCATTATTCTCAAGAGAAAGCTTCGCTGTAAATTGTTTTAATGTCTGTTTTTCCACCAGCTACATCTACTGGGCCGACTGGAACAGGGAATCACCCAAAATTGAGATGGCTTACATGGACGGCACAAATCGGCGGGTCCTAGCCAAGGATGATTTGAGTCTCCCCAACGGTTTAACTTATGACCCTCAGACGTCTCTGCTGTGCTGGGCGGATGCTGGTACGACTCCAGAAACATTTCCTGGTGGTGTAGTAAACTCACAGCTGCTCGAGCCCCTCGGCAGGAAAACAAATCATTTTCATCCCTTGTTTAGCTCATTAAAGCCACAAGCTCTCTGTAGTTAACACTTTACAATATGGTCTCATTTGTTAACATTAGGTAATGCGTTAAAGCGGTCGTGTAATGGTTTTTACACTTTCAACTTGCTTTACACTGTTAGACCTTACCAGGTTCTTTTACAGTAGAATACTGGCAACACTGTTGCCAGCTACTCACTGTAAAAGTTTGGTTACAGTAAGTTACTGGAAACAGTGTTAAAAATAGAAGGCATAACATTTTTTCAGACAAATTTATTTTATTGTTTTGGCACCAAACAAATAAATAACAGAATATGTATAACAAAATTAAGAAATCAGCAGATATAAATATTGTCTTACATATTACAGGTCTGCACAGTAAGGCTGCGGTCACACTAACGTTTGAGCAAGCAAAATTCTGTCATACTGCACTGCGAAGTGGAATTAAGCAAAGCAAGTAGTGGAATTAAACAAAATAATTAGAGATTGAAAAAGCAAGCCAGAGAGATCATGTTTTGATCTTTGATTGGTCTCAAGCAATCACATGATGTGATTTCGCATGTCAGCGTTCTCCAAGCTTGAACTTTCCAATGCTGCGAATTATGAAATTTGTCGCATGAGCTAGCATTCCTGGTCTGCAGTACTCACATGCGTATGAATGGAAGTCTATAGGGAGAAAAGTGCAGTGTGACCGGGACTTTAAGCTGTAACTCTAATTAAACACACCTGATCAAACTAATTAAGGCTTGTTAGAAATCTACAGGTAATGTTGAAGCAGGGTGGGTACTAAACTCTGCTGCGCTGCAGTTCTCCAGGAACTTGGAGTTTGACCCCCATGGTATATAGCAGGGGTGCTCAATCCTGTTCCTGGAGATCTACCTTCCTGCAGATTTCAGTTGCTACCCATATCAAGCACACCTGCCTGTAATTATAATTATTGTAATTACTGCCTGCCTGTAATATCAAGTGGTGTTCAGGTTCTAATTAATTGGTTTAGATGTGTAAACATACCAAAACTGAACAGTATATATATATATATATATATATATATATATATATATATATAAAATATATAAATATATGTATATATATATATATATAAAAATATGTATATATATATATATGTATATATATATATATATATATATATATATATGTATGTTTATATGTATGTGTATATATATATATATATACATATTTTTTATTATGTAAATATGTATGTGTATATATATATATATATACATATTTATATATAGCAACATAACGCATTAGAGTATATGGGGTAATAATGGTTGAGCAGTAATTTACCATTTATTATCACAGTAACTATCTGTAATGGGTACATAAAGTAAATTACTGTAATTTATTCTTTGCACTACAAAATTTCATACAAATCCTGCTCCTTTTACAGTAAAATACTGTTTCCTTTTATTACAGCAAAACACTGGCTATTTTACAGTTATTTACTGCATAATCTACAGTAAGGGTTAACAGTGTAGTGCAGTATGAGCAAGGAAAATATCTGTAACGTTACAAAGCACACGATCACTCCAGCTGAAGTTATTCTCTATATCAGTAGTGCTGTTTCTGAATGAGTCCAAACTGTGTGATTGTACTCCTGAGATTTGTGCTGGGAACAGACTCATCACAGTTTCCCTTACAATGTAAACTGTGCTGTATTGTAGTATAGTATAGAAAACTACAGTAATGGGTCATAGCGATGGGCAGTATTATCAGTTTGAGTAAACATGGATCTGCACTTCGAATTGCTACTGGAAAATCAGACCATCTGGGTATTTCAACATATTGGCTATTAAATTAGTCTGTCATAGGGGTCAGTTCATGAAAAGCATCCCAAATGAGGGGCCGAAGAGAAATGACTTGCAATATCATCTCAAAAACATAGCAAGAATCAGATGCTTTGTTTCTAGTGAAGATTTAGAAAAACTTGTTCATGCTTTTATCAGCAGCAGGGTGGATTACTGTAATGGACTCCTCACTGGTCTTCCTAAAAAGACAGTCAGACAGTTGCAGCTCATCCAGAACGCTGCAGCCAGAATTCTAACCAGAACCAGAAAATCAGAGCACATCACACTTGTCCTCAGGTCTTTACACTGGCTGCCAGTTACATTCAGAATAGATTTTAAAGTATTATTACTGGTCTATAAATCACTAAATGGCCTAGGACCTAAATACATCACAGATATGCTCACTGAATACAAACCTAACAGATCACTCAGATCTTTAGGATCATATAAACTAGAAGTTCCAAGAGTTCAGTCAAAGCAGGGTGAATCAGCTTTCAGCCACTATGACATCACTGCTGGAATCAGCTTCCAGAAATGATCAGATGTGCTCCAACATTAGGCACATTCAAATCAAGACTGAAAACACATCTGTTTAGCTGTGCCTTTACTGAATGAGCACTGTGCTGCGTCCGACAGATTGCACTATCATGTTTTTCTCTTCTTCTTCATTCTTTTATATCACATTTTACCTGTTTTTATGTTTTGTTTTTACGCATTTTTATTATTTGTTTTTATTTTTTATTTTACTTGTTTCTTTTATTCTTGTTTATGTAAAGCAATTTGAATTACTGTAACTGAGTAGTTTTTTTTCTCAGGAATTGTACTTCACTAAGTAATTTTAATAATGTGCACTTTACTTTTCTTGAGTACATTTTAGTGCTGTATCAGTACTTTTACTCCATTACTTTCCTGCAGTTACTACTTTATTTTTTCTCGTCTATGGGGATTAGAGAAATCAGTCATGTGATTCCTGTCCAATCAAATCACACATAGAAAATTAATCACATAATGAACTACCTCAAGACATGTGCGATTTAGAATTGAAGCAAACTGTTTGGAAGCATTAAAAATGTTCAAGAAGATGTCCATAAATCTTTACACACATTGACCCAGAGACTGTTTAGATGCACGTCACTGATGAGTTGACGGATGTTATACCTGTATACAGAAGAGTATGGCGAGCAGAAGCTCATTTGCATTTAAAAACGATGTACACAAGAACTGTATTTTTGATTCCGGCCAATAAGCTCTATTTGCTAAAAATAAAATAAAATAAATGATCCATGAGGTATTTTGAACTGAAACTGTTACAATAACCAACGATCGCTCTCCGGAGATCGCTGGTTTTCACTATAATCATGAACGACACTTCCGCATTTCCTAGGACTACATATTCACACATGCACTTCTTCCAGACACACACGCCTGCTCATTCATCTCGCTTGATTACACTCACCAGCTGAACCTTGTCAAAGACCGATAACACCATACTAAACCACTCTGTTACCCTTCCAGCTTGCCGAGTCTTGTTAGCTGTACCAGTAACATTACAACGCGTTTCTCCTTGTCTTGTTTATCCGTGCTTAGACTCTAGCCTTGTGTTTCCTGTTATCCTGTTTAGCAGCCTGCCTTACGACCTTTTGCCTTCACCTTGATTACGACTCTGGATTTGCCCGCACATACCTGTTCATACCTGATTTGACCATTGCTTGCCTGACTGCGAATAAACCTGCATATTGGATCTTACCTTCAGTTGTTGGTGTTACTCTCCGACGTTACAGAAACGTCACAGAACTTTAATGATAGTAAAAAACAGACATCTTAAAGCATCATTATCGTAAACGTAACCTTCTTGTACTCCATAAATCACTTTGCTGAGTCGCAGTTTTAGTGTTGTTGGTGATATTTGGTATTTCTGATGCAGGCACACATAAAGTGGAGTGTATGAATCCCCAGCAGGGCAGACGGACACAGCTGATGGAGGAAATCCAGTATCCCTTCGGACTCACTACTGATGGAAAAAACTTCTACTACACGGATTGGACGAGGTAGACTTTAAACTTTCACATCCTCCACTTCTTACAAACCGGTTTCTTTCTTCTGTTAAACAAAAAAGATGTTTTGAAGAATGTTTTAAACTTCCATAGTATTTTTTTTCCTACTATAAATGTCAATGGCTGCTAGTTTCCAGCATTTTATTTTATAAATATCTCATATCTATCATTAAACTTTATTTATATTGAACTTTTATACAATTGAAAGGCTTCCCAAAGTGCTTTACAACAGTAAAATAAAATTATATAATTAAAACACTGAAGTAAGAACTTAAAGGAGACTTACTATGCAGAAAGTCAATTTTATAAAGGGCTTGAACACAGTATTAGGGCAGCAGTGTGTGAATATAACCAGCTTCTAATGGTATAAATGTATTTATTTCTTTTTTTTTTTATGATCAGACTTCATAAAATCAGTCTGCAGAAACACTTTGATTGACATTCTCTATTTGTACGTGTCATCAGAGAGAGAAAGCCCCGCCCACTAGTGACCATCTCTTCCTCATTAGTAAAGACAGCCCTGAGTGAGAAGCAGCCATCCGCCATTAGATTTTTCACACTGAACCTGCTGAAGATAATAGCCCTTTTCACACAGTGATACCGGTAAATATCTGGAAAATTTCCGGAACGACTTTACCCAACCCGGGCTCATTGTGGAAACATAGCCCCGCGGACGTTTCTGCGGACCGCGAGATACGTCCCAGGAGGTACGTATTCGAGCGGTTTTTGTTTTCGCGGACCAGCGAGAGGCCGCTGTGCGCGCTTTTTTCCGTCTCGGGCGCCTCTCGGGAGCGCGCGCCGTTCGCGCCCGCGCTGTTCTCGCGCGAAAAGCCGCCGGCCCGGCCGCCCTCCTCTTTCTCTTCCTCCTCCTTCCCTAAACCCAAGCGACGGTTTGCAAAAGCCGTCCAGAAAAAAAAAAAAGCAAAAGCCCTCGTCTTCGTTTTCGGATCCCGCTGCGTTCTCGCCCTTTTTTTTCCGGATTCTGTTTTTCATCTTACCTGATTTCTGAAACCGCTGTTCCCCAGACTCGATTCCGGTCGTCGTCCCCGCGGCCGGCTCCTCCTCCGGTGCCTCCGCCGACGCAACGCTGTGAGCTAAGCGAACAAACTGGTTGCATCGGGAAAGCCCTCCACTCGGAGGCGAGCCGTCGGCCGGCGAGCACGAAGAGGAGGAGCGGAGCGTTGCCACACCGCCCCACAGCGTTCGCTCGAAAAATACGTAAATCGCGGTCTCCAGAAACGTCCGCGGGGCTACGTTTCCAGAATGAGCTTGGGTTGACTTTACCGGTAGATTCAAAAAAGCTCTGTTCACTCAGGCCAGGACGTTACGAAGTTTTTCCAGATAGGGCCATTCACATATCCATTCCAAAATACGGATAAATTCTGACATCATCACCCAAAAATGAGCTCTAAACGGCTGTGCTTTTTTGTAAACAGTTTTTTATGTAAAGCTTTAGCATTCATGCAGCTGCTTTTGTCACAGAGACATCCAAAGGCAAAATCGAACTGCAGCTAAATGTTTTCACATTTGACTACATTACAAACTGTGTGGATGGATCAGTTTTGTTTACAATTTCTGTGACAACATATGGAGGAACACTTTCGCATGTCTAGATGTACATAATATGTGTGTGTGCTGGCGCTCACGTGCACACGCGTCAAGCAACTGAAGCAGAGCTTGAAGGTATTCAAGGGATTCAGAAAGAACATATAAACGTTATCCGACTAACATCTAGCTGTTAAATGTGTCTGGAAAAATATTCGAAGGCTTTTGTTTTCATAAACAGCGCGGACGTTAATGTGTCTGAGTGTTCTGATAGGCTGGAGCAGATCACGTCAGAGCGTTCTAATCGTGAACGCACTCTCTTCGGCAATTTTTCTTCTGTGTTCACACAGAGCTGCGTTCTGGCAAATTACCATTAGTGTTACAACTTCTCTTTCCGGAAAATTCCCAGAATGAATTTACTGCTATTTTCAAATAGGGCCTGTTCACACATTCAGGTCAGCATGTGTGAAAGGTGCTAAAGTTAGTGACTAAGAGAACTATAAATGGTGAGTTTTAGGACTCACAACTGAACATTGTAGTCTCCATAGACTGCTTTTTTCTGAGGCACATCTTTTAAAATATTGGCTAATAAATAAGTGATTATAACTTGGACCTCTTTTTAACATGAGGCTGGGCAGATATCTCATTTGAATTTAAAGTGACAGTCGCCAAAACGGCTAAATTTGGATCAAAGTCTAAAAGGCCAGTTTCAAAGAGTCAAAGGTGTTTGCCATAATGTGTTGTTCTTGTCAGACCAACGCAACCCTAATTTTTATGTTTTCCACCACGTTGTCTAAATAGCAAATCCATTTGTGACACTTTGTGAACTGATTGGTGTTTTGGTCTAGAATAGAGTTCTGTGAAGATGCATTGTTGGTGCGTTGCTATTTTGAGGAACTAAAATAGACTGCGCAATAGACCAGCTGAAAGTCCAGCGCAGAGCACGTTAGTTGTGCGCCTCGCTTAAACATTGATTAAAACACTCAGGATGTACAGCAATACAGAAATATCTTTACAAATGAAAAATATTAAAATATTACAAAAAATTTTATTTTCTACAAGCATATAAAAACCACTGCCTCCATGCCTTTTTCATCTCGGGGGGCTTTTTTAAATTTTATTTATGACAATTTGCTTTTGTATAATGCTATTGTTACTATTATTATTATTATTATTATATGCATATTTATATTTGTTTCATTAAAAACAAGTTTAGATTTGTCCACTTGTCGGGTTTTGAACCATATGTAGCATAGCACGTGTATTTGGATATAAATAAAATTTTTGATCACACTTTGTTATTATTGTTCATTTAATCCTTTGCTGGAGATTAAATCTGAATTTAGAAATAGTTTTGAAGCAAATCTTTGCGCTTAACAAACCAAATTAATTATGTAGGTTGATGGATGTCTGTGCATACAACCGTTTCCTTATCCACGAATGAGAGAAAGAGAAAGTAAAGAGGCTGAATGAAGGAGGCTCGTTCTTTATCCTCGCGCTGCAGATGCTCTGTTTAACTGTTTTCTCGCTATTGAAGCGTTCAGTTTTTACACTTACAAGTCCGTCATGTAAATAGCAAATGCACCATGGTGCAACACAACTGACTCTTTAAGGGAATGAGAGATGAGACTCTGATTGGTTTATAATCAAAACACACCAAGAACTTATTAAAAAAATAAACTGAACTCTGTTAGACCATATTTATATGTACTTAAAATAGCAAAAGTGGATTGAGACAAGCCCTTAATGCTTTTGCGCCAGGCACTTTAGACTTTGCGCCTAGATCGTTAAAATAAAGCCCTCCATGTGGGGTATTTTGAGCTGAAGCTTCACACACGCACACTTATTTTAAACTTGTAAAAAAGGCCATATTTAAGTCCCCTTTAAAGTTTTCCTTCCACAGTAGGTCATTATGTTTACCTGAAAACTGCACAGCAAATACAATATTGTGTAGTAGGGATGGTCAGTGTTCAGTCCACTAAACGTGTGTGAACGTGTGTAAAGCCTCTCTGTTCATTTGAGGTCTTGATAGCCTATGTTTGCTCGGTAGAGACAGCAGCAGCTCAGATTTTCCTCTTGAACCCTGAATGTGTGTTTGCTCTGCTGAGGTACTGGGGTCGGGTCATCAGGCCGCTTTCAAGGCTTCTGGCAGCTGTGTGTGATTTCACAGCCTGTTCCGCAGCTTCTCTGATCTTTCCTCACGGTCACAATGAGGCTTATTATAGACGCTCAGCCACATGACTAAATACTGGAGTCATTTAGAGTAAATACTATCATGTTGTTTAACCATGTAGTAAAGTGTATAGTAATATTAACAGCTCTAGCATACTGTAGTATTAACTATAGTGAACTGATAAATACTGTGGTATACTTTAGGTTTTACTACAGTAAACTGTGATTTATTGTAGTATATCTTATAGTTATAGTAGAAAACTACTGTCAGGATTTTGCCCATGTTATTTTAGTTTTTTCTTGTAATGTTTTTTCTTCACCACTAGATGTCCTCATTTCGTTCTTTGTCTTTATTTTGTATTTGTAATCACAGCTATTGATTTCACATGTTCCTTGTTTAGCTGTTTGTATTTAAGTAGCCTCAGTTTAGTAGTTCTTTGCTCGGTTATTGTGGATCCTAGCCTGTCATCCTCTGTGAGTTCCTCTATTTGAAAAATTACCTTTTGTCAAGCTTTTTTGTGACTTATGTTTTTTTTGTAGTAATTTTGAGCAGTTACTGATCCTGAGTTTTTTTTTGCCTCTTGCATTTTTTGAAATTGGAGAAGTCTCTGTTTTTTGTCTGCTTTATCTTCTATTGAAGTGTTTTTTTTTTTTTGCCACTAATAAATTCCTCTTAAGGAGAAAGTTCCTTTTTGTGACTTTGGTTCTTCAACGCCTGTGTGGCTCAGTGGGTTCAAGGCCAACATCTCGTGCAGGAGACCCGGGTTCTATCCCAGTCTCTGACAACTACAGTATTGGGTCATTTGTTTATATCCGCTTGTTAAGTGGTGGCGTGTTTGTGACGTATGTAATACTGTTTCCGGGTCCAAGCCGCCATTTATTTGAGTGGAGAAATCATTTGTTTATGTTTACACGGCGGGCGGGGAATGCCAGTGACCGCTGTGTACGGATAGAATCAGCGGAGCGGGGAGCGCTCTCTCTCCCCGCTGCGCTGATTCTGTCAGTGTACAGCGGTCGGCGCGGGCCACAAAATATTGCACTGAGGGCCGCAAATGGCCCACGGGCCGCGAATTTGAGATCTCTAATTTATGTCTTGAAACACACCCCCTCTCCTGCTTTTACTTCTCATTCTAACGGAGGGAGCGATACGTTTGTGAATGAAGCTCCATTATGAATGACTCGTTCACTGAGGTGACAATAATACACGTTTCTAGCACTTCAGCATCTTGTCATATTTAATTTTTATTGTTTGCTTATTTTATTCAACAAAACTAGCAGGGGGGTTCAGATCAGACGTGAGTTTCTGCAGATTTTGAGTGATAAGAACATTTAGAAATGAAACTAAATAGACAGTTCTTGTTTAATGTTATTGGTTATTCGTAATATGTAATGTAATAGTAAGCTTGGCAAGTAATTTTGGAGAATTTGATGTTTGTCGGTTAAAACAGAATGCCTGAGCATACTGCCTGAGAGGCGTTTCAAAGATGGCCAGGCCACTGAGTTAATTGACTTGCCTTTAAGGGACTTTGGCGATATCTAGTGTATATATCTATGTTGTGGCTTAAGATCATGTGATGCTGAAGACTGGATTAATCAACACAAGCTCATTCAGAAAACGTAGCCCAGCAGACATTTCTGGAAACCGCGTTTTACGTGACCGGAGGTACATATGGCTGCATTTATTTTTTTTTCCGATTTTGATCGCGTTTTCGGATTTCACCGCATCGCGAAGTCGTTCGCTTTATTTTTTGGATTTTGGTTTTTGTCTTAACTGATTTATGGAACCGCTCTTCCGTGGACTCGAACCCAATCGTCGAATGTCGCCGGCGGAGCGGAGGCCCAAAGGAGGAGGAGCCAGCGACATTCGACGACCGGGTTCGAGTCCACGGAAGAGCGGTCAAAATCGGAAAAAAAACTAAATGCAACCATATGTAACACGACGAGCTAACCGGACAAACTGGTTTCAGCGGGAAAGCCCTCCACGGCAAAGGGCGGTGTAATGATGCTCCTCTTCGTGCTTCGCCGGCTGGGCTGATGGCTCACCTCCGTGTGGAGGGCTTTCTCGCCGCAACCAGTTTGTCCGGTTAGCTCGTCATTTTACGCCGGCAGAGCGGAGGCCCGGAGGAGGAGGAGACCGGCCGCGTTAAACAACCGGGTTTGAGTCCGCGGAAGAGCGGTTCCATAAATCAGGTAAGACAAAAAACAAAATCCAAAAATAAAGCGAACGAGTTCGCGATGCGGTGAAATCCGAAAACGCGGTCAAAATCAGACGAGGGCTTTTCTTTTTCTGGATGACTTTTGTAAATTGTCACTTGGGTTTAGGGATGAAGGAGGAGGATGGCTGGGTCGGCCGATTGGCCAGCCGCCCAGTCAATTGTTCAGTCATTCAGTCAGTCAGCCGGACAGACGGTTGCTCAACAGCGGCGTCCGGCTGCTTTTTACGCGAGAACAGCGTGGGTGCAAATGGCTCGCGAGAGACGTTCGAGACGTGAAAATTCGCGGATTCGTGAAAACAAAAACTGCACAAATACATATCTCCCGGGAAACATCCGTGGGGCTACGTTTTCAAAATGAGCCTGGGTTGGGATTAATGGCACTGAAAATTCACCACTGAATCAATTCCATTTTACATTATATCGACACACACAACCGATCAGTTCAATATTGTATCATTTGACTGTATATTTGAGCAGATCAGTGTGGTTGTAAACACACATGCTCATCAGTTTTCCTGACGGTTATGTTTGTGTTGTGTCAGGGTTTCTGTAGTCGTGGTGGATCGGCATTTGAGGAGAGAAGTGGATGAGTTTCAGCCTCAGAAACGAACACGTCTGTATGGCATCACCACAGCACATGCTCGCTGTCCTGCAGGTACGCACACACTTTATTACTCCTTATTACTGTTACAGTCATCATTATTGTTGCCAGATATTTGTGTTTCACACTTGATCTGTTCTGACAACAGGAGTTTCTTCAGGTCTTGAATGTGATCGTATGACATTATAAATGTTCTTGCTGTAAATAACAGCACTAGATTTGCATACAATATCTAGTAAACTTCATTTGACTTCTTTATTATCTACAAATGGAAATTTATCTTCGGCTTCACCTCATAATTCCATCAATATACACGTCAAAAAAAACAAATGCATTCAATAGCACAATGAACTCTGTTTTTAATGTATTTAATGGCTTGAGGTTGTCTAAAACATACAATTTTGTGACTCTTCATACATTATCTATCTATATTCTATATAATTTTGTATATCAACCAATCAAGTGATATTTTAATTCAATAATAAGTAGATGCATTTCCCTGCAATCAGCTGATTAGAGATGCTTTGAGGTTAAAATGTAATTTAATCATTAAAATTAAAAACATATTTCAATTTAGAAACATTAAAAGAGAATTTGGGAGAAAATAAAACAAAATGTATTGGTCTCTAAAATGCATTTTTTGTTGAATCTTGAATTAAAATTTTTGCAAATATGTATATATTCCAGTTATTTATAGTTATTACACATGCTTTTAAATTAGATGCGTTTTAATTATAACATTGCAAAGACCTTAAAAGAAATTTTATAAGGAAAGATGTAAATGTAAGTGATTATAGTTATGATGGCGTCTTTGGAAAAATATCTTCCATAAACGGACCCAATTATTGTTTTATTAAAATAAATGGCTCAAGTTTTTATTTAAGATGGCTGCTCTTATATGGAATGTTTAAAATAGGTTTAAATTATTCAAAAAGCATAATAAAAATTGAAAGTTGAATTTTTACAAATATGTAAATATTTTCATATTTCAGTTATTTATAGTTATTACACATGCTTTTCAATTAGTAGCATTTAATTATAACATTTCAGAGACTTTAAAAGAAATTTTATAAGGAAAGATGTAAATGTAAGTGATTATAGTTATGATGGTGTCTTTGGGAAAAATATCTTCCATAAACTGACCCAATTATTGTTTTATTAAAATAAATGGCTCAAGTTTCAGCCTATTTTTATTTAAGATGGCTGCTCTTAGATGGAATGTTTAAAATAGGTTTAAATTATTCAAAAAGCATAATAAAAATGAAAGTTAATACAAATTTACATTTGGATATAGATTTGTTATCAGAGGCAGAATGCAAACAAAATTGTGTTACTTTAATATTATTATTATTATTATTATTAATATTATTAAAATTGTTATTGTTGTTATAGTAATTATTTATTATATTATATACATTATTATACAATACTATATAATATTGCTGCTATAATAATAATAATAATAATAATGATTTTAAATAATCATTTTAAGTTATTTAGTTATTAATTAGTTAAATAATTTTTGTTATAATATATTATTATTTTTATTATGATTAAGATTGTTGTTATTATTGTTATTTACTTTATTGTATTTTAATATAATTTGGATTTTTTTAAATTATCAGATGCAAAATACAAACACAATTACAATTAATATTTAATATTATTACTAATAATGTTGTTGTTGTTGTTGTTTTTATTATTATTACAATTATTATTATTTACTTTATTGTATTTGAAAATAATTTTTAAAAAGTCACATGAAGGAAAATTTAAACATATTATTATTACATTATTATTATTATTGTTGTTGTTATAATTATTATTGATATTATTATTATTATTGCTGCATGTTCTCCCCATGTTGGCATGGGTTTCCTCCGGGTGCTCCAGTTTCCCCCACAAGTCCAGGTGGTACAGGAGAATTGGGTATGCTAAAAAATGTCCGTAGTGTATGTGTGTGTATGAATATTTCCCAGTGTTGGGTTGCGGCTGGAAGGGCATCTGCTGTGTAAAACATATGCTGGATAGGTTGGCGGTTCAATCCGCTGTGGCGACTGCAGATTAATAAAGGGAATAAGCCGAAAAATTAAATGAATGAATAAATTGTTTTTATTGTAATAATAACAAAAATTATTATTATTATTATTATTGTCTTTATTGTATTTGGAGGTTTTTAGTGTTGTTATTTGATGTCATGTTTTTAATGTGATGTTTATTCAATATATTTAAAATGCTAAACTTGAAGCCATCGTTCATTAGCATATTGTTTGGGAGACAGGTGTGACCCATACAATATGCTAATACAAGAACCCTTCTCAACCTCCAAAAAGTGAGGAATGCCAGTTTGAGAGAAGTGCATTAATGTGATGTGCTGCTTGTTATCATCAGGCCAGAACTACTGCTCGTCCAATAACGGCGGCTGCACACACTTGTGTCTGGCGACCCCTGCTGGCCGCTCATGCAGATGTCCTGATAATGCTGCAGAACTGGGCTGTGTGGAGAGAGAATGAACAAACCAGAGAAACCTCCAGGAGGAAACACATGGCGGAGCGATGCGTTTGTCAAGTGCCTTACTTTATCCTTAACTTACAGATGCTGTTTTTACATGCAATTCTTGCCTTTAAATACAGTCATGGTGCTTTAGAAAATAAGTAAAAACAGACAGATATAAATTGTGGCCGACTTTGAAAATCTTATTTGGTAACTCTTATTTTTCAATATCTTAGATGTTTTTGTGTGCATTACGGAAACAATTGCAAAAGCACATGACTTATGGAAATTACTACAATAAGAGGTTATTTTTTTGTAATTGTCAGAGTTATGGTGCTTTAGACGATTTGAAGAAGAGAATAATAAAAAATCTAAATTGTTGGCGACTTTGAAAAGTCTATTCGATATTTGCAGATAACTCAATATTTTTATTATTTAGATATTATGTTGTTTATGTCTGTGCATAAATGAGTACAAATGCAAAAGCACATGATTTATGGAAATGACTAGAATTTAGATTTTTGTAATTTTCATAAATCATGATGCTTTAGAGAATTTGAAGAATAAAGAAGCTAACAAATATAAATTGTTGGCGACTGAACTTTATTTGAAATCTCTAGATCATTTTTTTTAATTTTCTGTTATTATTATTATTTTAAGTTTTTATTTTAGTTTTTCAGTGCATTAATGAGTATATTTGAAAAAAAAACACGATTTATGGAAATTACTAAAAGGAAATGAAATATATTTTTTAGTAATTTTCACAAATTATGATGCTTTGGAAAGTTTTAAGTAAAAAACAAAACACAAATATAAATTGTTGCCGATTTTGAAAATTTTGTTTGATATTTCCAGATAACTTTTTTTATTTGAGATGTTTTTGTGTGCATTAAAGAGTACAATAAAACATGATTTATGGAAATTACTAAAACGTGTTTTTTGTAACTTTCCGAAATCATGAAGCATTAGAGAATTTGAAGAAAAATCAAACAATTATAAATTGCTGCCGACTTTAAATAGTTTGACATCTTCAGATAACTTTTTTGTACTTTTTTTGATGATATGTTGTTTATTTTATGCATTTAAGATTATGATTGAAAAAAAAATCATGAGTTATGGAAATTACTAAAAAAAAAAATTCAGAAATCATCATAATAAAAAAAAAAAAATATATATATATATATATATATATATATATATGACAAAAGTTTTGTCATCGCTCCCAGTTTTAAGAGCACCAATTTTTTTCCCATGAATAATCTGATGAACTTCAGTCAAGTTTGGTGAAGAAAACATCATGGTTTGGGGTCATTCAGTATGTGGGCGTGCGAGAGATCTGCAGAGTGGATGATCAACATCAACAGCCTGAGGTATCAAGACATTTGTGCTGCCCATTACATTACAAACCACAGGAGAGGGACAATTCTCCAGCAGGATAGCGCTCCTTCTCATACTTCAGCCTCCACATCAAAGCTCCTGAAAGCAGAGAAGGTCAAGCTGCTCCAGGATTGGCCAGCCCAGTCACCAGACATGAACATTATTGAGCATGTCTGGGGTAAGATGAAGGAGGAGGCGTTGAAGATGAACACAAAGACTCTTGATGAACTCTGGGAGTCCTGCAGGAAGGCTTTCTTCTTCATTCCAGATGACTTTATTAATCAGTGATTTGAGTCATGTCAGAGATGTATGGATGCAGTCCTCCAAGCTCATGATGGAGTCAGACACGACTTTTGTCAGGTAGTGTACATATATATATATATATATATATATATATATATATATATATATACATATATACATATTTATATATATTTACAGTTGAAGTCAGAATTATTAGCCTCCCCCCTGTTTATTTTTTTCCCAATTTCTGTTTAACAAAGAGAATATTTTTAAATATAATAGTTTTAATAACTCATTTCCAATAACTGATTTATTTTATCTTTGCCATGATGATAGTAAATTATATTTGACTAGATATTCTTCAAGACACTTCTATACAGCTTAAAGTCACATTTAAAGGCTTGACTAGGTTAACTAGGCAGGTTAGGGTAATAAGGCAAGTTATTGTATAATGATGGTTTGTTCTGTAGACCATCGAAAAAAAATAAAGCTTAAAGGGGCTAATAATATTGACCTTAAAATGGTGTTTAAAAAATTAAAAACTGCTTTTATTCTAGTCGAAATAACACAAATAAGACTTTCTCCAGAAGAACGAATAATTTCAGACATACTGTAAAAATTTCCTGAACCTGTTAAACATCATTTGGGAAATATTTAAAAAAAAGGAAAAAATAAATAAAATTCAAAGGGGGCCTAATACATCTGACTTCAACTATATATATATCTACATATACTACAGTCACAATTTATATATATATAAATTGTGACTGACTTTGAATAGTTGATTTGATATCTTCAGACAAGTCAATTTATTTATTTTTATATATTATGTTTATTTTTGTGCATTAATGTACAAAATTGCAAAAACATGATTTATTGAAATTAATTAAATGTGACTTTTTGTAATTTTCAGAAATTATAATTTTATATTAAGTATTAAAGAGTGCAAATGCAAAAAAAAAAAAAAAAAAAAAAGGTCTCTGCTCATATCTGATTTTGCAAATGAACTCTTTATTTGTTTATTCAGTGTATATTTTGCTTGACCACTCACTTGTGACCGGTTTGTGTGCATAATGAACGTCAGTAGAGAATAGACGCAAACAAGGCCTTGAACCAGCAGGGGGCGACAGCAGATTAAAATCACATTAATAGTGTGCGGTTGTACGGCATAATTTTATAAAATCTAAAATATTTTAGTATTTAATAATGGTGTTAATCAAGTATTCTTGTGCCTGAAAAAAATCAGGAACATTGAAAATAAATAATTTAAAAATACATTTTAAGATCAACCAATTAGAATTGAAATATTAATGTTTTGATTTTTTAGTTTTATGATTAAATATTTAAATTATTTTATAATTTATAAAATGTTATAAAATGTATTTTTGTATACACACTCACACACACAATACAATAATCTAAAATATATTAAGGCGACACAGTGGTTAGCGCTGTGACCTCACAGCAAACTTCGTAACGTAACAGTAAATTTACAAAAAAAGTTATCTGTATTTTTGCTCAGAAGAAAATGATGGGACACGTTTTAATAAATGCTGTTAAAACAATAAATCGCAGTCGATCGCATCCAAAATAAAAGTTTGTATTTACACAATGTATGTCTACTCACTGTGTATGAATATTATGTAAAAAAAAAACAAATAAATATGTAAAATACAAAACATATACTATTTATTTATATTAATACATAATTCGTATTAGATATATTTAATTATAATCATTTTCTCAAATATATACATACATGTGTATTCATATATATATATATACACACACACACACACACACACACACATATATGTTTGAGATATTTGCAGTTCAAAGTGAGCATCAGAATGGGGAGGAAAGGGGATTTAAGTGACTTTGAACGTGGCATGGTTGTTGCTGCCAAACGGGCTGGTCTGAGTATTTCAGAAACTGCTGATCTACTGGGATTTTCACGCACAACCATCTCTAGAGTTTACAGAGAATGGTCTGAATAAGAGGAAATATCCAGTGAGCGGCAGTTCTGTGGGCGCAAATGCCTTGTTGATGAGGCCAGAGGTCAGAGGATAATGGCCAGACTGGTTCCAGCTGATAGAAAGGCGACAGTAACTCAAATAAGCACTCGTTACAACCGAGCTCTGCAGAAGAGCATCTCTGAACACACAACACGTCCAACCTTGAGGCGGATGGGCTACAGCAGCAGAAGACCACACCGGGTGCCGCTCCTGTCAGCTAAGAACAGGAAACTGAGGCTACAATTCACACAGACTCACCAAAACTGGACAATAGAAGATTGGAGAAACGTTGCCTGCTCTGATGAGTCTCCATTTCTGCTGACACATTCGGATGCTCGGCGCAGAATTTGGCATCAACAACATGAAAGCATGGATCCATCCTGCCTTATCAGCGGTTCAGGCTGGTGGTGGTGGTGTAATGGTGTGGGGGATGTTTTCTTGGTACACTTTGGGCACATTAGTACCAATTGAGCATGGTGTCAACGCCACAGCCTACCTGAGTATTGTTGCTGACCATGTCCATCCCTTTATGAGCACAGTGTCTCCATCTTCTGATGGCTACCTCCAGCAGGATAACGCAGCATGTCATAAAGCTCAATCATCTCAGACTGGTTTCTTGAACATGACAATGAGTTCACTGTACTCAACTGGCCTCCACAGTCCCCAAAGCTCAATCCAATAGAGCAGCTTTGGGATGTAGTGGAACGGGAGATTGGCATCATGGATGTGCACAAATCTGCACAAACTGCCTGATGCTATCATGTCAATATGGAGTAAAATCTCTGAGGAATATTTCCAGTAGCTTGTTGAATCTGCCATGAAGGATTAAGGCAGTTCTGGAGGCAAAATGAGGTCCATACGGTACTAGAAAGGTGTACCTAATAAAGTGGCCGGTGTGTGATGTCTACTTGTGTGTAAATATAGTGTTTATGTAAATAAAAATAAGCGTTTAATGAAACGCTCTCACATAGAGTGACGTACAATAGTAATACAGTATCAATGTTGACGTATTTAGGTCTGATAGTAATCTGAGTGCTTCATATCGACTCTTGAATAATACATGAATGTGTACAAAAGTACAGTGACATCACGGAATCTTCACGCTCAAATCCAGCAGCAGTCTAATAGACACGCTTTTAATCCGGCCATAAAGAGGCCTGTGTGCTGCGCGAATGCCCGGAGTTTTAATAAATCATAAGGAGAGATGCTCTGTGACTGGCGATCATCATTATGGAGCTCCCGGAGACACTGCGCAGCGCGTCAGCACGTCAACCCCGCCTACAGCGACGTAAATGCCGAAGCTCCTCCTTTACAGGGGGGACACGATTGACGTCATTCGAGAAGGAGCGTCCTTAGAGGTTACATATTTGATTGACAGGACGCTCGACCAATAGCTGCTTATAGTTCTGTTTGATGGGCGTTATTTCCTGTACTGTTTTGCATGTCATTTTTTTCCTTCTAAATTGCTTGTGTATATGTTGGAAGGAAGACCGGAGACAAGCTAGGTAAATTGCTATTGTGTTTAAATGTACGCGTCTCGGATGAGCAGTTCAGATGAACAGTATAGATGTGATGATTAAAAATGGCCGGCTGGCGTTTGTGTTGCTTCATATTTGACTGAAGTAAATCAATGAGTGTTAGCCTAAGCTGTGCTGCGGGATATTCTGCGTCTGCTGAAAGCATTCAGAACACACGCAAGCAGAGTCCGTGTCTGCACATTTTGACAGTTTTTCATGATTAATCTGTTTATGTCGGTTTACTTTAAGCGAATGCGAGCTTTAACTTGTGTAAACCCGCCTATCATTACACTGCTGCAACGTTAACTTGACAGTAACTGTCAGGATCGCTACTGAATTATCAACCGACATTTTTAACTGTAATTTCTGCATGAACGCTTGAATTCCCGCCAGACGCATATTTAAAAGTTGTGTTCACCTCTGCAGGCGGATTTAACGGACTTTGCGTCTGTTA